TATATATCCTGTTTGTATTCGTTACCTTCTGATTCAGTATTGAACTGTCCAGAGTACGAACTGTACAGGGAGCCTGAGTCTGAAGAGTTGGGGAAAAGTCTTTCTGTGCTTCTGGCACACACACCACACCTAAACATATACACACACACAACAGACAGAGTTTCTCTGTGAAGTATATCAAATAAATTAAAAAAATAAAAAAACCAGCTACTACCACTGGGTGTCAGCTAAGTGTTCATAATGCTGCTATAAGCATAAAGTTAAGCACTGTCTTTTTTTTCTTTCACCCAGTAGGCCAAGTGTCAGCTTTCATTTAGATCAGGTTCCTACTGTCCTGGTTCCTACTCTCCTTAAGATCCACCCAACACCTGAGTCCCCACTGCAGGCTGTGACGCTGAACAGTCTCACTGTGGCCTGAATAATAATGATATGAACCCACACACACTTCCTGTTCTTCTGATTAAAGGGGTGTAGGGTTACAACAAATCATCCTCTTCCTCAGAGAAATTAGATTAGGACACAAATAAAGTGGAAAAGATTAATGAGTCAAGCTGCTTTATTGTATGACTCCTGATGCATGTAGATTTTTCTGTACCTCACTCAGCATTCATGCTGTGCTTTTTGAACATGTTTCCTTTAGTTATATCTTGAACTTCATGTGTTTGTTTACAATTGTAGTGCTTCAGATTATTTCTGAATCATTACCGTACTTGCCGCCGTACACGTCGCACAGCTGTATAAGTCGCATAAATCCAAAAAATGTCTAATAAAGTGAAAACAACATAAGTAAGTCGCTTCGTCATATAAGTCACATCTATTATGCGTCACCGCTGACCACCCGGAAACGTGCCATTGTTGTGCCAAAAATCGATTGGCTGCCAAATGGTGGCCATGGGAGCATGCACAGGAGGACTTTAACAAGAATTTAACTAGATTAACACTTAAAAACAATTCTTTGTTTGCTTGAAATTATAACAAATGTGTGTCTCAGTTTAACTTTTCATTAATAAATGCACTATATTGGTCAAATCAACTGTATTTCAAAAATCGATTCGCTTAAGCGGGAGTGCGCAGAGAGAGGACTTGCTGTGCATTTCGTCGAAATTTAACAAGATTAGCACCAAAAAGAATTACAGTAGTCCCTCGCTACTTCACGGTTCATTTATCTTGGACTGGCTTTATCGCGGGTTTTCAAAATAGGATTGGACATGACACACAATTGGCTGATTGATGGATGAACTGCACGATCGGCATAGAATTTATTTTTTAATCATTTTAAATTATTTAGCACCTGTTGCACATTTTTGTGCAGCCCAGAGCTGCAGAAAAAAAGGTTAATGAGACACTTGGCTTGTCATATTGGTCGAGGGCCCTCTAGTGGCTGAAAATGGTAGTGTTCAATATTTTCCATGTCAGAATGAATGAAATTGTTAGATCTCAGACAAAAATTGGGTTATGAATATGGGGGGTAAGTTGTATTTTAGTCACTTCGGTGTGTAAATCGCAGGACTTGCAAATTCATGTAAAATGGTGCAACCTATATAGCAAAAAATACAATACTTATTTTGTTATATTTTTAGTGTGAAATTTGGTTGGTCTTCTACTGCCAAGTCCTGGTTCCATCCCAGTGGAAACAGAGGTAAAGTTACTCTTAGTTAAACTCACTTCTTTTATACAGGACAGGACATAATAAACTGTGAATGTTTGGAAAATAACCAGTAGATGTAGAGACAGCACAACATTTAACACGCATGTGCTGCTTTAGTTATGTGGTGTTAAAAAACTACCAAGTTGGTGCAGATTTTTCTCTTTCCTTCTTCCTCGCTTTATTTATTTATTGAAATAATTGCATGCGATTATTCATGCTACTTTGCGCGTGTGCCAACAGCTGGTGTTTTACCCTGAGAGGCAGCGTGTTTTGTCTCTAGGGCTGGAGAGCAGTGGGTCTGCTGGGAGATAATGAACTGTCCCTGCATAGCTCCTGTTGCTCAGATACACCAGTGCACCTAAATAACAAGAGAGACATAAGGTCAACTAAAACTGTGCAGCAACAGAACATTAAAAAAACACAACACATGACAACTTTGTTACACAAAATGTAAAAAAAGGAACTCTCTGGCTGCATTAGGCACTTTAAATTTGGTTACATAGTAGTAATTAACCACGCTGTGTGTGGGTGTGGAGTTAGCTAGTCTTAGGTGTGGTTAGACAGCAGTCAGAGCAAACTGGAAAATCACCAAGGATGCTGACAACTATGCACAGAGCCCATTTCCACAGTCTAAAAACCACTTAAAGGAATAGTTTGGATTTTTTAAAGTGAGGCTCTGTGGAAAGGTTGCAAGCAGTATCTCTGCAGTGAAGATCTCTCTGACATCAGTTTGAAGAAACAAGTATCAGCTGTTCTGAGCAGGGTCAGGGTAAAGTGGACTGCTGCCATCCTAAAACAACTCCAGTTTTGACTATATTTTTATGGATTATGTGGATGCAGTTTTGTGAGCCTTTCAGCAAATAGTTTTGCATTAGACAGTTATTTACAAAGAACTCTGGTTTTTACTCTGATGTTTGTGTAGGTCTGTGATCTGCAACCAGAAACTGTAGAATGAGAACCATGTCATGCAAAACTGAACTTATATATTCTCATCCAGAGTAACTGATGGTGTTTTATTACTGTATTTATTAACCTTTATTTAACCAAGCAAATCCCATTGAGATCACAGATCTTATTTGCAAGGGAGGCCTGGGCCTGAAGGCAGACTAACAGGCATGTTTTTGAACTGTGGGAGGAAACTAGCGTACCTGGAGAAACCCCACACAAAGTAGAGTCAAAATAGTGAAGTTGTGTTTGCACGAAGTGCATTTTTTTCCACTGCATTACTTTAACATCAGATAGGTTTCTCTGCCTGATGACATGTTACATGTGAAACACCATTTAGCAACATGTGTTTCACATGTAACATTGTGACTGAGGTAAAGGGAGCAAACCATCCTTCAGTATAAACATCCATAAACTTTACTGTAAATGAAGCTCTAAAATTATGCAGTTTAAAGTTCTACCAATGTGGTTTAAAGACTTGCGTTAGCTGTTAAGACAGAACAGTCCCGACACATTTCTGTTGCTACAAACTGAGATGCTGACTACTCGTAAAAACATTCAATTGTGTAAACATCTTAACTGTGTCCTCTTCAAAGTGTTGGTTAGTTTGACTCTGCTGCAATAACTTCTTAATTCTCCAAACTGAAACTGCTGTCCACTACAAATAAGATACTGTCTATTCAAAATTGCTACACTTGAACTCAGTTAAATAAATCCTAAATGTGCCTTTAAGGGCAGCACGGTGGCGCAACTGGTAGAGCTGCTGCCTCTCAGCGAACAGGTCCTTGGTTCAAACCCCGGTCCAGGGGCCTTCTGGGTGGAGTTTGCATGTTCTCTCCGTGCATGCGTGGGTTTTCTCCGGGTACTCCGGTTTCCTCCCACAGACCAAAAACATTCATGTTAGGCTGATTGGTAACTCTAAATTGTCCCTAGGTGTGAGTGAGAGAGTGAATGGTTGTTTGTCTTGTTTGTCTCTATGTGGCCCTGTGATGGACTTGCGACCTGTCCAGGGTGTACCCCGCCCCTCGCACAGTGATTGCTGGACATGGGCACCAGCGACCCCCGTGACCCAAAAATGGAATAAACGGGTAAAAATAATGGATGGCTGGATGGATGTGCCTTTAAGAAATTAACATTTTATTTAACACTTTAACATCATCTGCATCCTTTGAGCATGCAGTCAGTCACCAGATTCAAGATGAACGCCACTAATTGATCTTCGCAAACACAAAATGTTTCTAACAGTCATTTTTACAGATATTGAGCTGAGATTTGGTGTGATAGTAGCTGAGAGTCTAACAGATTGGTGTATTTGCCTTAAACCTTGGCATGAAAGGTGACAGACAATATGTATTCCTCCATTAAAGATTACATTTTACATTTGTTCATGAAAAATCCATCCAGACCTGAGTAGTCATATCTGACAGGTCCCATCCAGCGGTGTTTTTCACTCTCAGACAGTACATCTCCATAGAAGCCATAGCCCACCAGAGACACTGAGTAACGCACCAACCCAGAGCCATAATGGACTGAACACACATCTAAAGGCTGAGAGTCTCCTGCAAGGGGTTGTGGGAAATCAGAGAGTTTAACCAAGCAAAGCTAGAAGTCTACAAAACATCTGCATAGTGCTTCATTTGAAAGCAAACCTCTTTTTACCAACAATAATGTGCAAAGCTGAAGTAACGGGGTCGATCACTCCCCCTGTTGCGTAGCACACACAGTCTGTCGAACCTGCATCAGATCAATCAAATCAGAACAGGTGAGCCAAATCCTTAAACATAGCAGCAGCACTTGAGCTGAGCAACAAGGACCTGCAGGGATGATGCCGATATGAAGTGGACACGGCTGCAAAGTGACAGCAGGATCGTTCTCACAAACGCCTGCCTCTTGCTGCGTGCGCCCAATCACACCATGGAGTATTTCACTGAACATGCCATCTCCGCCCACACACACCACGCTGCCAAAAAGCAAACACAAGAGTTTCTGTTACATGAGAGCATCTCCCACCCTGGCTTCATAATGCTCTCTCACCACAATGTTTACACCACAGTGTCGGCTGCACTCACCCGTCAAAGCCTGTCAGATCCTTCTTAAGGAGGTGATCTCTGGCCTGGTTTCCCCTTTCAGTCACTAAACAGAACATATTATGATTAATGTTGCTTTGATTAGTTCTTTGAAAACCTGTGTGTCAGCTTTAATTCACCTATCACATGGGAGCTGATATCAGCCAGCTCAAACAGAGGGGCCACCAGGGAATGATAGATCTGCCTTCCTTTTTTCTTTCCTCCATATGGATTGATGAACACCAACAGTCTCTGTGGTCGCAAAGGACCTGAAAGATACACGCAGATGTTACAGTTCAATCCTCTTTGATATGAGACCGATGGACAGTTTAAAGTGAACATCTCATAGACTCATACAGAACACCATGGACTTTGTGGATAAGGTGAGGGATGTCATCATGGAGACTGATGAAACAATGGTCTCTTTTGATGTCACATCACTCTTTACGTGCATTCCTGTTGATGATGCAGTAGAGGTGGTCAGTTTAAAATTAAAATCAGACACCACTCTGAGCAGCAGGACCACGCTTTCTACAGAACAACTATGTCAACTCTTGAAACTGTGCCTGCAGTCAACCTACTTCACATATGGGGAGCAATATTATAGGCAGAAACATGGGTGTGCTATGGGGTCTCCAGTTTCTCCTATTGTTGCCAACCTGTACATGGAGGAGGTAGAAAAGAGAGCCTTGATGTCCTTTTCAGGGACACCACCAAGTCATTGGTTCAGGTATGTTGACGACACCTGGGTTAAAATTAAATCTCAGGAAGTCCAACATTTTACTGACCACATCAACTCTGTGGATAAATACATCAAGTTCACATGACAAGATGTAAAAAATGGCAAGTTGGCTTTCTTGGACTGTGAGGTCTCAGTCTCTGATAGAAGACATTTGCAAACCGAGGTGTACTGCAAACCCACCCACACAGACCAGTATTTGCAGTTTGACTTCCATCACCCTTTGGAGCACAAGTTAGGAGTCATCAGGACTCTGTATCACAGAGCAGACAGTGTCCCCACTAGCTCAGGAGCCAGGCAGAAGGAGAAATCCCACACAAGACAGGCTCTAGAGCAATGTGGATATCCTAACTGGGCCTTCCTGAAAGCAGAGAAAGAAACCCAAACAGGACTCCAGTCAGCCATCAGGTGAAAAGGAGGAACCCAGACCCAGACCAGTGGTCATTCCATATGTTGAGGGAGTATCAGAGAAACTGAGACGTTTATTTTCTAAACATAACGTCCCAGTGGCTTTTAAACCCCAAAATACATTACGGCAAAGACTGGTTCATCCCAAAGATCCAGTCCCCCAGCACAAACAGAGCAATGTTGTGTATGCTGTTCAGTGTCAGGAGGGCTGTGATCAGTCTTACATCGGGGAAACAAAACAGCCACTGGCCAAAAGGATGGCCCAGCACAGAAGATCATCATCATCAGACCAGGATTCTGCGGTCTACACTCATCTCCAGGCCAGCGGTCACTCTTTCAGGGATGAAGATGTTCACATCCTGGACAGAGAGGAACGATGGTTTGAGAGAGGAGTGAAGGAGGCCATCTTTGTGAAAAGAAATCGTCCATCGTTAAACAGGGGTGGAGGCCTCCGTGTTCAACTGTCCCCCTCTTACAATCCTGTTATTGCTAGTATCACTCAGCCTCCTGTGAATAGCAAGCAGTCATCAGTGTGCTAATGATCAGGTGTTAGGCTGATGGTCCCCCTTTTGCATGTGAACAACAAGGTTTGGCTGTCACCAGCAAACTGGTTGATCCACTATGAGAAGATGCTATTTATAAGACTGAGTTTGTTGCAGCTCCTCAGATGGAAGAAGTCTTTCAGATAAAAGACAAATCCATCCAGAGGACCTGTTAGCGTTTCCAAACTTTAAAAAAATGAAGATCCTTCTTGGAAATTCTCTAATGTATCTCTGTCCCTTAGCGTCCAATTGTCCATCCTTACTGTGTGTTTTGACAGCAGTCTTTAGCTGTTTTGTCCACTGGTCTCTTAGGACTCGGCTGGGGCAGCTGAACTGGATCCGGCCCAGTTTCCATAGCAACCCATAGGAGTTCCTGGTGCTGCTACGCTTCACGTAGAAAACTGAAAGTGGATGACAATTAAGAAGGTTGTAAAACCACATCAACAGATGCAGCTGTAACTGTCGCAGCCGACAGGTATAAGTCATGTGATAAACATCAACACGATGGGCTGTATTATTGAGTTACTGGTGAAAGTGGTCTGTGTGTGAAAGCTGCGATGAGAAAGTACCTGTAAAATCTTTGTCTCTATCTTCCACAGATTTGCGAGGCAGGATCTCCACTAGGCCTTCCTCCACTCCAACCAACTCGGCCACAGGCACTGAAACTTTAATACGTGCATACAATTAAAGACATCTATCCGTCTGTCCTTTTTGTATCTGCTCAGTCTTGTTCAGAGTCACGTAAGAACTAAAGTTAATCCCAGAATTCAAAAGGCCAAAGGGTGTGCTTTATCACAGGAAGCATGCACAAAACTGGATATTTTTAACCCTTAAATAACTAAATCTATCAATATACAGCAGAGCCATCAAATTCTGCTCCACAAAAAGCTAAGATAAAAATAAAAACTATATTGAATGGCTAATATTAGTTCATATTCTTTATTATATTTAAACTTAAGTGGGTTTTCACATGTTTAAATGTCCAATTATTTATACATTTTCCCAATACATTAAAGTATTTTAGAACTTATTAATTCAAGAAAAAGAAATAACATTAAAACTATTAATTTATTTTCTATCTTTGTGAAAAAACTGCAGTAAACAGTAATGTTTTCAGTCCTGGTTTAAAGAAGCCATCAATTTCTGCACAAATCTTTTTTTTTTTAATTCAAACCAAATTTGATTAACTCAATTCCATGACCATGAGATCCTTTATCTCACAACTGAACACATTTTTGCGTAAAACAGAAAAAAGACTCGTATTTATGAATTCCTTTACACCACTTCATAACAAAATGCAGTTGCACTGGTTAAACCGCATCAGTATCAGCCTTGGCCGGTTTATACACTGAAAACTGCTTCGAATTAAATCATTGCTTGTTTGAATAAAGGCTGACAGATCACCTGAAAGAAAGAATGTTGTTACTAGACCTCTGTGTTCACTTAAAAGTGCCACTAATTTTAAACTTATATTACAGATATAAATCAGTGTGCTGTTTGAGATAAATTATGTATTACATATCTGATTATATTTGTTTGTTGGTATTGTGTTTATCTTTTGTATTTTCAGATTAAAAGCCCCATTTGTTTGTATTTTTAAGAGTAAAAGTCAAAGACTTGGGAGAGTTTTGGTGGAAAGAAACAGCCCCTGTGGTTGTCAGCATGTTGTCATAATGGAAGCATGCGTGTGTGTGTGCGTGTGTGTGTGTGTGTGTTTTTCCCTGCTTATGTTATGTGCAAACTGTTTTTTCAGTCTTGCTGGTGCCGTTCAACTTGTTCGTCACGTTTTCTGCACACAGTGAAAACACTCCCTCCATGCAGTTGCCAAATATTATAACATTAATTGGGATTTTATTTAAATTTACATATAAGAACTAAATACAATGGGGAAAATTGAGTTATTTAAAAGCCAGGGTGTAATTTAAAATGATTGATTTATTATTTGCTGTTCAAAATTTAATGAATAACAAAACAAATACAATGTAATTATGTTGCATGTGTGTGTGTGTGCGCACGTGCATGTGTGTGGAGCTCAGTGTCACACAGCTCCTGCTCCACTCACCTGTTTTCTTGTCCCGCTTCTTCTTGTCTGCCTCGGTCCATCTGAAATGCCATCCTGTCAGAACAGCCAGGTATCTCTTGTTTCCAACCCACAGACTCGACTCCAGCCTCAGGTCGCTCTCCATCTGAACACAACGCTTTTCTTCACAACAAAACCTAAAACACCCTCCTGTTCACGTTTTACATCCATAGCTTTTACATTTCTGAGAGGGAAGAGAAAAGATGCAGGTTCCACCAAGTCAACAGTCTGTCCAAGTCCTTCTGATTTTATAGGACATGTGGACGGTTTCCTCTGGTTTCTATGTTTGTCTTCATAAAACACATCCAGGTAAAAATTGTCTACACCACCCGACAATGGGTATTTATTCTAAAAATATCCACTCCCTCCCTCCACCTTATAACACCTGCTGAATTTGCATGTTGCAGCTGATTGGATGGGGGTTTACCTGGAGGACTGAGGCAGCTCCATTGAACATTTGTTTCTTCTTGAGTTATGCTATACTCACTAATGACATTAAAATTAAGTGAAGACTGATTATAATTCATATTAGTTTAAATAAGACATTATGTAAGAATAATGTGAGTTAGTCTTGAGTTGTGTTTTGTGTTGTTTAGTTTTTGTTTTTCACTTAAAGTCATAAAAAGTCGAGGTACATTTGTATTGTTTTATGACTGATTGGTTAAAGTGATCACACAAAAGACATGCAACAAAAATATACATATTGGTTAAATGTTTTAAGAAAATAACTTGTTTTTTTGCACAGTTTGTTGCTTCAGTGTTTTAGATGTTTTTGTCAGAGGTGTCTTTAGTATACTGAAGTGTAATTACAAGAATTTCAAAATTATTAAAGATTTTATTGATGACAGTTGCATTCATTCCACCTTTATTTATACAGGTTAGTCTCGTTGAGCCACGAGGACTCATGTACCCGAGAGACCTGTTTTAAACAAAGAGCACAGATTAGGTACATACAACAATAGACAATCATATAAAATGAAAAGTAAGACATTATATAAAAATGCACCAAAAAAGCAGCTACATTATAAAGTGATGTAAAATACTAAAAACAGGAACATGACTGCGTTGTGTGATCTTTCTTACATCCAAAAAGTCAATATTTTCTGTGGTGGCCATTCATTTTTCATGACCTCTGCAATTCATCCTGGCAGTCTGTCAGTCAGTTTGTCAATTTGTGGGCAGCACAGTGGACGAGTGGTTAACATTGTTCCCTCACAGCAAGAAGGTCTTAGGTTCAAGCCCCAGGTTGAGGACTGTCTGTGTGGAGTTTACACGTTTCCTCATGTCTGCGTTTGTTTCCTCCAAGTACTTGGTTCTCCTCTCAGTCCAAAAACATGCATGTTATGGCTGCATTCAGGACCAGGCCTCCCTGGGAAAAAAAAAAGTGATCTCAATGGAATCCAGTTAAATAAAGTATAATAAAAACAAACAAAAAAAATCTACTTTGGGGCCAAATTCTGAATAATGGAAGCCTGTTTATGCATAATAATTGTTCAGTTTTTTTTTTTTTGTGTGTGTGTGTATGTTCAGCTATCCACTGGGCAAGAGGTGGGGGACACCCTGGACGGGTCTCCAGTCCATCACAGGGACACATAGAGACAAACAACCATTCACTCTCTCACCCACACCTAGGGAACTCCACCCAGAAAATCCTGATGCTTGCTCAATAATCCAGGCAGAAAAATCCAACAAAGTTAAGTCAGGTCCACTGGACAGTTTCTTTTTGCTGAAACATTTTGTCTTTCATCCAAAATACTTCATCAGTCTGAAGAGTTGAAACAAACTCAGTCTTATAAATAGCACCTTCTCGTGGTGGGTCAACCAGTTTCATGGTGCTCGAATTTTTTCTGTAGTACGCCCTCTACCCCGCCGACTTATGTGACCTTTCCATCCGGAAAAATCCCCAGCTGGGATTTGGTCCGGCAACCTTTTTTTTTTTTTCCATCCACCCACCTCTTGGAGATTGACCATGGGATTTGAATGGGATTAAGATCTGGGCAGCTTCCTGGCCACAGACCTCAAATATTAATATTTTGCTTCTCAAGCGACTTTTATGCTCCTTCATGTCAGAAAAGGCGTATTTTGTCAGCAAACTGTTCTTGGATGGTTGGAATGAATCCCTCTCAGAGGATGTTTAGGAACTTTTCTTTTCTATGGTTGTGATCTTAGACAAAACTGTGAAAGAGCCCCTTCTTACTGGCTGAAAAGCAACTCCACACATGAATGGTGTCAGGAGGCATTACAGTTGGCATGGCACAGAACAGATGGCAGGGCTCACCGTTTCCTTCAATGGATGTTTTTACTCTGAAACAAACAGAAATGGGTTTCAGCAGAAAAAAATACTTTGAATCTTCAGCAGTCCAATCCCTCTAACCTGTTGGCTCCTTAGATAAATAACATTATTAACTGAGTTTATATGTATGTGAATGTTTCTGTACAGTGCCCTGAGACAACTTCTGTTGTGATTTTGCACTATATAAATACTAAATTGAATTTAATTGAATTAACTTGCCTGATGCCATTCCTAATCAAGCTCTACTATAGTGGTGCTCTGATCTCGCATCTGATAAAGGACGGTTTAGATGCAATCTTCCTTGCAGCATCATTGCCTATGAAGCCTGTTTTTATTTTTTGCAAAGCAATGATGACTGCACATCTTTCCTTGCAAGCAACCACCCTCCCTTAAAACATGCAGTCTGCTATTTTAACTCAGTCAGTATTACAGAGTGATCTCTGGCCTTGTCATCATTAACAAGCTCACCTGTTAATGATAAAATCACTGAAATTATGTCATCAGGTCCTTTACTGGTAGGGCTGAAAGCCAGTGGAAATAGTTTTTCTGAATTAGGGAAACTTTCATGGCAAATGACTTTGCATTTATAATTGCAATTCATCTGAAGACAACATTCTGATATACGCAAATTGCCTTATAAAAACCGAGGCAGCAAAGTTTGTGACAGTTAACTGTTTTGTTATTTTCAAAACTTTTGGCTACATGTGCCGACTTAGTATTTTTATGCAATGTCTTTATTTTTAATCTACAATTTACATTTAACTTTTTTTTTTATTTAATTATTTTTTGATTGTTTAAGTTGGGGATAATATTTTTATGTGGTTTATATTCAAATAAATATTGTGCGGGATTTCATAGTTTATAAAACACGTTCCATGATGCAAATATCAACATAATAAGCTTCAGACTAAATTTACAGAAAAATCTAGCTGAGTAAAATATACAGTATTTATGAGGACACTTGTGGAAGAAATCACTGTGCGAGTATTCTTCAAAATAAAATAAAATCACAGTGCTGTATGTCGTTGTTTCTACCGCGAGAACGTCAAATACTTTTATTTTGAAGTCCTAGGATATCTTGACCGGAAATAAATGTTACTTTCCTCGCATGCGCATTCCCTTCTCCCTCCCATGCTAGCAAGTTGAGTTACCTTGCTAGCGAAGCAAGACCCTTTAAATTCAGTTTGTAGTTAGTTATTATGAATAGGTTAATTTAAACGGCATAATTTCAGATTGTTTTCATAAACTTGATTAGAATCCAAGTAACACAATGAACATACGAAACGCAAGGGTGGGCATTCTCTAATCTTATCGTCAGCCACGCTTTTTAGCCACCGATATTGCTAAGCTAACTACCGGTTTCGCCCAGCATTGTACCGAGCTTATTTTCGCTTAATGCATTTTATGACGTGTTTTCTCCCTCTCTCTCTTGCAGCCGGAGGACCTTATGAACATGCAGCACTGTAATTTGCTATGTCTTCCAGAAAACTATCAGATGAAATACTACTTTTATCACGGATTGTCCTGGCCTCAGGTAAATCGGTCTCCTAACTCCGAGGCATGGGTTTTTTCACGTTTAGACAAACAATGTTTCAGACTTGTCTGTTTACCCATTCTTTCAGCTCTCATACATAGCTGAAGATGAAAATGGTAAAATTGTGGGATACGTGCTGGCAAAGATGTGAGTGTGACTAATTTCCCATTACTGTATTGGGTGCAAAACTATAATGATAATCCAACAAAGTTAAGTCCTCTGAGGACCTGACTTAACTTTGTTGGATTTTTCCACATGGATTATTGAGCATGCATCAGGATATTTAATGATATATCTCAAATTCTTTTTTAGGGAGGAGGACCCAGATGATGTGCCTCATGGACATATCACATCACTGGTGAGTCTAAACAAGTGGCATGACTTTACATGTTGTATGTCACTCAGAAATCTGTGTGATTACTTTTATTCTTTGTTTTATTCAGGCAGTAAAACGATCCCACAGACGTCTTGGTCTGGCCCAGAAGCTGATGGACCAGGCCAGCCGGGCCATGATAGAAAACTTCAATGCTAAATATGTCTCACTTCATGTACGCAAAAGGTACTTTATTTGCTGGCTGTGAAACTAATATTGTTTTATGTGTGGTTAACTTATTGAACGATTCTCTTACACTAAATAGTTTACATTCAGACTGCATGTGTGTTAGCGCTCATATAATTTTTTTGGATATTTACAAATGTTTCCTCCCAACTGCAGCAATCGAGCGGCTCTGCATCTATACTCGAACACACTCAAGTTTCAGTAAGTTTATTTTTTATGCCACTAGTTCTTGAGATGTTTAAATGTTCATGTGGTTTACTTTTAGCTAAGACTTATATAAAAGCTAAACTAGCTGGCTTAAACAGCATGTTGCTTGTTAGTTTATAGCAGTTATTGACATGAGCTGACACGAGGTGAGAAACTGCATGACAGATGTTCTACACGGAGCTTGAAGGGTGAATGCAACTTATAATAAACACATCACTATATTTAGTTCTGAGAAACATTATTAATTGATGACCATGACTATTGTAATCTTTTGCAACGGTGTGAACAGTTACATTTTGTGGTTTTCCTTTTTATATGTGTCATTACAAGAAGTGCACGTCAGGGTCTGGTGGTGGTTCTCACATTATAGCTTAAACCAGCGGTGTCATATTCAGTTGTATAAAGGGGCCAAAATTAAAAACTTTTTTTTTCAAATGAAGGGCTGGTTTCAGGTCAGTACATTACCTCCAGTCACAAACCTGACAGCGTTTCTTGGTTGCAGGCTTCTCAAGAATTTCCTCGGTCTCATTTAATGTACATAATCATGTCATCTTAGTCATTGTTGTTGTCTACCTGGATGTTTGAGCTTACAAACCCAGTGCTGAATTAACTTAAAACATTTGTTTTAAACGCAGCCATGAATGTACTGAATTACAAACTTGTTGAAAAATCTGCACCGTAACAGCACACTTAAACACACCTAGAGCTTCACAAGCTTGGTCAAACGTGTAAAAACACAACTTTAATTTGTTCAGTCAGTTCGCTAGCGCGTGACGTCACTCGGAGCACAAAGCATAGAATTAGAGTGAATAGATCTGCCCAGTCATGGATTGGCCACATTGTCTCCGATCCAGAAGCTTTTCCAATGTCTGTACTGATATTGGTATCGGATCCGTTCGCTCTCTCTCTCATATATTTGCAAAAGCTTCAATCTTAAGTTGTTTTTGATCTTATGTTAGTTATTTTAGCAGTTAACTGCCCATGCATTTTAAAATAATTATGCAATGCTTAAGTTTCATAAAGCTCGACACTGTTTGGGTTTGAAAGAAACGTTTCTTGTTTCTGTGGGTCTTATCAGGTTTGAACAGGTCAGAAGTTTCACATAATAAGCCTCTAAAACGGGTTCAGGTGGTTTCTGTCTTTAATGGACTTCTCTGTATTGGGCTGTTGGTTGGTGGACTGTAAGGTCTGCTAAAAGGCAGGCATTATTGTTGTGAAAGTGGTTATTTACTTTGAGAAAATAATACAAAAAGACAGTTTGAATTTGAGGAGAAGTGTTTTATATGGATGGTAAAAAAAAAAATCACTTTGTTTTATATTTTTGTGTTTTGTAACTTGACCAGTCTGACATCCACAACACAAAAATACATACTGTAACCGAAAGTGTCACGTTGTCTCCTTGCAGGATTAGTGAAGTAGAGCCAAAGTATTATGCGGATGGAGAGGACGCCTACGCCATGAAGAGAGACCTGGCACATATGGCCGATGAGGTGACGTTACCTCTCAGAAAGTTTTCAGTCTCGTTCCTTTAATATGATTTTGAGTGAATCACGGATAAGCAGATTCTTGTTTTGAAAGCGTCTTCTCCCCCTTTGCATCCTCTTGCAGCTGAGGAAACCTGGAGTCCGTGTGTCGAGTCAAGACGTCCCGTCTGGCCAGAGCCCATCAGGCTCCGGAGATCAGGAGAGAGAAAGCGAGAGGGACAGCGGAGGAGAGAGCAAAGAGCTGAGTGAAGTCAGCGAGGCAACAGAAAGCACAGACGTTAAAGATTCTTCATCTGATTCACAATGACGCTGCAGTTCTACACGTTTTTAAAAGCATCACCTTTTTACTCACTTTGTGGCTGTTTCTGGTTTTACAGACTAGTTACTTGTACATCAAAGCCACATCTCCTGTTTTCTTAATTCTTGTATTTTTTTTCCTGCTGTGATTAACAAAAACACTTGGCTTTAAAATCATATTCTATCTAAATTAAACAGAAATAATTGGTCTTTTTGTTGGTGCTAAAAGTCTGTAATATCTTTGCAGTGAAGACAACATAGACTTTTTAGTTTATAAACAGTGTGACTACAAAATAAAATATTCAATATTCAAACTTTACTTTTGGTCTCCAGCTGTTGAACAAGAAAATAGATACATAATTTATAAGTGTTATGAGAAGACCTCAGATTAGTTTATCTGCATAAAACTGATCTGTTTTCATAACAGAGCAGACCACACCAAAAATGCTGCTTTCCAGCAACAAGTTTTCAAAGGCCATAAACAATACCTTAAAACTGAAGTCACAAGAATTTCACTGTCAGAAAACAAGTCTTCAGATCAGGGTGTTGAGCTTAAATTTAATGAAAAGTATGCAAAGGTAGGTGTAACCAGTGGGGTCAAAAATTAAAAATCATGACATTCACAAAAACATGATGGAGCAGTGATGTCATGCTGAACAAATGACCTCACTGCATGAATGCAAAAACAAAAAAGTTAAAAATTGAGCCACAACTCTTCTGGAATCTAACCAATCTTTTTAATGCAACCCAGGACCAACATACTTGAAAGCACGGAAGAGGTCGTTATTCGGTGTGGTTGCTTCATCATCTCTGGTGTTTGAGGCCATAGAAAAAAAAGAATAAATTTAATAAGCGCAGTAAGAAAATTGTGAGACATTAAGTAGGACTGTAACCTAAGGAGCAACCCAACAGCACTTAGCAAGCATAGTGCATCACACTCGAGTTACAGTCAGTCTGGAATCCTCAAATAACCGAACACATGTTTATATATAGATGGATGACTTTTAATGCAAGAAAGAAATGTAATGAAAAGTCAAAGGAAGTCTGACCACTCCAGTAAAACCTGTGTTTGCGTGAGGCGAACGTCTTAAGACCTTATTGTGAGGAGATGGTACAAAATCACTTTAACCTTGAAAATAAATAAAAAACTAAATGAACTTTGGCGTCTCCTAGAGTTTAGATAAAATACTCCATTACATGACCTAAAATACTCCAATAAACCGGAGGTCCAATACTGAGAACATGTTTCTAAAAACTAAAAAAGATCACAAAATAAACTAAATTGTAACAATTGTTTCATTTTAATGGGGTCTTTAATGACATACACCAACCTGTGCAAATACTTTTGACTACAACTCATTGAGCTATTTAAAGGGAGCTATGCAAGTACAAAGTAAAACCGTATTAACCCTGGTTGAAAGGTGCCATTTAGGATGAGATGGCTCCATTTATTCACTGAGGAGGAGAGCATCACGTTCTGTGGTGTCTGCTCGTCCAACAAAAAGGCAAAACATTGAAAAAGCTTAAAACTAATTTCCTTGACTCTTTGCTGCTTTTGTTTCGCAGCAGGAGACATCACTGGATGACAGATAACTGATGTGCAACTTAAACAGAACCACTCAGTTCTCAAATATCCCACATTGCAGTTTATGTCAAGTATATTTTAGCAAAGATAGTAATTTATTTAAACCAACAGCTATTAGCTATTTCTGTTTTGTAGCTTTACAGTTCTGTTCTACTTATGATAATTAATCATCATGTAGATTTTTTTAAGTTGATAACATTTCTTCTGCGTACCACCAGTGGTACTTGTACCCCAGTTTGACCATGAACTTACAATGTTCACGGCAAAATTCACTCTTTTGTACATGTGAACAGAAAGCAACAAAATATTTAACTTAACATTTTACAAAAGAAGTACCACTTAACCAAAATACACATTATGGAGTAAATTTAAGACGTAGTTAAGTGAACCTCATCCTTGTTTACATCGGAGCTTAAAAGTGGAGCAAAACTCCTGCTTTAAACCAAAAGGACAAATAATCAAACCACAACTAAAAAGAGAAATTGCATTTCTTGCAAAAATGCAGTGTGAATGCCTATTGCAGAAGAACTTGCTAAGAAACAGCTGAATTTAGCTAAATGCTGAAATGTTGCTGAAATGGAAGAACAAGCCTAAATTAGCAAAATAAAGCAGAAAGAACACATAGAAAATAGGTTTAAATAAACAGAAATTAGCTAAAACATTTGGAAATTAGCTAAAAAATGAGGAAATTAGCTAAAAAAAATAAAGGCTGAAATTAGTAAAAATGTCTGAAAAGTAGCTGGAAAGTAGAAAGAAGCTTAAACTACCAGAAGGAAGTGGAAAGAGTTGAAATGAGCTTAAAAAAAAAAAGTGGAATTAGCTGTAAAAGCTAAAATTAGCAGAAAACAACTAAATAGTAGCTGAAATTGCAGAAAAACTGAAACTAGCATAATTAAGCTGAAAGGAGCATAAAAGGCAAAATGGTTAGAAATACGTTGGTAACCATAGGCTGATAGCAGAAATTACCACAAAAAGAATTGAATTTATCTGAAAACAGCCAAAATTAGCTAGAAAATGATAAAAATTAGATAAAAAGGTAGAACAAGCTTAAATTAGAAGAAAGTAGAAAGAACATGTTTGCCAAATTATGCTGAAAAAAGCAGAAATGACCACAAAAAGTTGAAATTATCTGAAAAATGCTGAAATTAACTACAAAACCAGCTGAAAAGCTAAAAAGGCAGAAAGAAGTGATGAGAGCACATTTTCACTGAATTAGGCAGAAAAGTTGTAATTAGTGCAAAATATGTGGAATTAGCTGCAAAGGCTAAAATTAGCATAAAATAGCTAAATATTAGCTGAAATAGCAGAACAAGCTGAAACTTTCAGAAATAAGCTGAAAGGAGAATAACAAGCTGGAATTAGCAGAAATAAGTTAGAAGAAGCACAAAAATGTTTTAGTTAGCAGAACGAATCTGAAAGGAGCACAAAACAGCTGAAAGTAGCTGAAAAAAGTTTATATTTGCACAAGAAAGCTGAAAGATTCTGAACCAGAACAAAATGTGAAAGGAGCATTAAAAGGTTATAAATAGATCTAAAGTTTTGAAGGATGTAAAATGAGCTCAATTCATTTTCTGAAGAAAAAAGTCAGAAAAGGCTAAATATATATATAAAAAATAAAAAATAAAGCTGCACCAATACCAAAAGTCATCGCTGGATTGTCCTGAACGAGCTGAAAGTTTTGATGTGAATTGTTGAAATAGCACAAAAATTGTGAAACGAGAAAGATGCTGAAAAAGGTACGGAAGAGAAATGGATCTCAGTAGTGTGAATGCTTCATGAGCGTTCACACAATAAAAGGAAGCGTGCAGAACGAGTCCTCTGCAGCAGTGACTGAAAAAGTGTCAGGAGAAATTTTCATGTGCTTGTGCAACAAGGTCCAAACTGAAGGAGGAAGGAAACGGCTCAGAAAGTGATGCATGGCAGATAAATGATGGGCAGTAGCCTTTCAGAATTTATTTTAAATAGCCCAGTTTAACACCTTCATGTAACACTTCAGCTCGATGGAGAAGAGACAACGAAGCATACCATGAGTCACGATTACATGGGGAAAACTTGCATATCTTGAACTTATCTGATGACGTGAGAGGATTCTGTAAAGCAGCTGATTTCATTCAGTCACCGGGACATAACCAGTGAGGATAGAGCAATTAGTGGGAACAGCTGCATGATTGGAGTGAAACTCTGCTGTGGAGCTCAAGAGGCAGCAAGAAAAAGAAAGAGGAAGGGGCTTGACTCTGAAAAAGGTTTCTTTTTCTCTTGCTCGTCACACTTGCACAATCACACATCAAACTGTATGTGTGAGCGAGATCAGGGGTGAGAAAGAGAGAGCAGTAAAGCAGCAAGTGTGTGTGTGTGTGTGTGAAAAAGAGTCACAGAGATGAGCTCTACTCCACCCACATCCATCCATGTCCAATGTGAGGGGGAAGTGATATCGCTCAGAGTTTACTGTGCTGTAAACTGGCATTATTTAGCTGCTTGAGTCAGGAGAAGAGGCCGGTCGGCACGTTTCTTCATAAGGTAATACAATTGTTTTTTCCCCTCCTCGTTCTAAACCTTTAATCATCTTTGTCCAACCAGAGCAGAATATTTTGAATGCATCCTGTTAAAAATCTCTGCTTGATCGTTTCATCTAGAAGTCATGACGATTTGACCGCTCAGACAGTGCTGATGTGTAAAAACTCAAAAGCAATACCTCCTTTAACTACAGTATCATTAAGGTTGAGGTGGGGTTTTTTTGGTGACATGTCATAGTAGATTGTGATTTGCTGGTGATCACGCTGTGAAAGAACGAGAGCGCTAAAGGAAAAGGATGACGTGTTCCAGAAAAATTATTTTTTTAATAGCTCAAAAGTGCAAGTTGTTTTTTTAGCAGGTCATTTAATGCCTGAAGTGAAAAGCAAAGAGTGGCTGAAGAGAATTCAGATGTTTGCTCTTTACAAAAACTGCAACAAAAGAAGGGGGAAGTCAAGAGGTGCAGACAGGATAATGGTAACAGTTGTTATTTTATGACCCACTGAGTAAAACCCCACTCTTCCCCTTTCTGATTTCTCTGTGCTTAAAAGCATTGCCTGAGTGACTCAGTGGTTTCTTAAAAGTACCACCTTTTTAAACTAATGTCTTAATTTCCCACAGCTTTCACATGTTTCTGTCAAACACCAAATGATGACAAACAAGAATTTCTTTCTCAGAGGTCTGTTTTAATCTTTTAAAAGCCAAGTCGAAGGAAAACCTGCCCCGCATCTACAGAAGAGTGAAACCACCTACCGGTAGTTCTGCAACTCGGAAGACTTGAGCTTCACTGGCAGAACCACCTGTGGTCGTTCACCGCAAACATCCCCGCAGAGAGTTTTGTGCCTCTTGCTTCAAACCTATTTATAGGGTTAAGATGTGAGAGCTATTTCTGCTGCGTTGTTGCAGCCCTGCAGCACGACGGGTGCAGCAGGCAAAGCATGCCAACTGCTCCTCTGGTCGCCTGCCACTCAGGAGAAGCAGCACGGCAGCGGGCGGCCAGTTCTCAAGGAGATGTGTTGCAGTAAGATGAACGAGCCGTTTGTGTGTGTTGTGGCAGCAGGAAGTCGTTGTGGTTGGTTGGAGTCGATGACAGTTTGTGAAGAAGTAGTGGCTTTGACTCCTGCTGTTGCTGTATGCCCAGTGACATAAACCGAGCTGTTGGTGTAAATGAAACGCTCCTAAATTTAATTTGCGTCCCAGAATTCAATCCTGTTGGAGCGACGATGAGTTCCCACGTGAAGCTGAGGAAGGAGAGGGTTGGTACTCTAGACTACGACACGCAAATTAAAGGTATTTGTCCGAGCCTTGGAACAGCTTGTGAGGTTTCTCACCCTTTGCACAACAGCTTGAACCAGGATGTGTTTGACAGCAGGTCTATCTCCCCTTCCTCTTTATCTTTCAGAGATTCGTTGCCAGCTTGTAGACCAACTGAAGGTGTTAGATTTGCAACTTGAGCAGAAGACCCAGCAGCTGCAGGACATGGCTGACTACCTGCGGCGAAGGGGGGAGATTGAGAGCGAGTATGCTCGCTCCCTGGAGAAACTTGCTGAAAGGTTCACTTTGAGGATTAAAAGGTACGGGAGGCTCCAGCCTGTGAGAGATTCATTTGAGCCAGCTGTTTGGTCATCATCTGCTCTCTGGGTTCAGGAAGGACCCCAGTACGCACTCTGTGTCCCAAGTTTGGGTGGCTCTGCTCTCCCAAACCCGACAGGAAAGTAAGGACCACAGTGGACTCAGTGAAAGTTGCAGCAACCTTTTCATCCAGCCCATCATGCACTGTCTGGAGTACACTCAGCGCCTCGCTAAAAAGGTGCAACCTGCAAAATAAGAGCTTTACTTTAGTGTCTTTAGTTTACCGCTGGAACCGTTAAAGCTCTCTGTTCTCTTTGTGATGTGCCATCTGTGATGTTTTGTCTCTGCGATCTGTTTCCAGAGTAAAGACATCTGCGCTCAGTTACAAGACGGACTACTCAAGGTCACCACGGAGCTGCAGACTGTAAGAGATTAACCCAAACCAGCGTCTGTTTTCTTTAAAAACAAGCAAGGAGAGAAAACATAACCCGCCGAGCTGTTTCTGTGTGTGCGCAGGCGTGGCGGACGTATTACCAGTACCACTCGGAGTTTGTGTGTGCAGAGGGGAAACTGAGGGAGGCGGAGAAGCAGGAGGAAAGGCAAAAGCAGAGTGCTGCCAAAAAACTGGAAAGACTGATAGAAAAGGTAGATGAAACCAAGTGATTGGAGCATGTGCATGTTTTTTTTATTTATTTCATCCTGATGTTTCCATCTCACAGAGACAAGGTAAATGTCAAGAGATCCAGCTGAAGTGCAGCAAAGCCCGGAACGACTACCTCCTGAACCTGGCCGCAGCCAATTCCTCCATGAACAAGTACTTCCTTCAGGACGTCACTACGCTCATAGATGTGAGATCCACCAGTCTGATAACTTCACTCACCATCACCTAACTCCAGGTATTGTCTGAACATCTGTCTTCTCCCTCAGTGTGCAGATGTGGGGTACCACTTCTTTTTGGGCAGGGTTACGCAGGCCTATCTGTCTCGACGGCTGCGGGCCCAGCAGAACTTAAGCTCGGGGCTGCAGAAGCTCCAGGAGGCCGTATCTGGGCTGGACCAGAGCCGAGACAGAGACACCCTCATGCAGGAGAACTACAACGCCTTCGCCATGCCCCTTCGGTTCCCCTATCAGCCCCATGAAGGGGACCAGGTGTGTGTGTTTTAAATCGCTAGTATTAGTATATAAATGTATTTATAGAGCGGCACAGCTCAAGGTTTCCTTGTCTCACAGATTTCCGAAGTCCGTGCCGGCTGTGAAACGAAGTGCGAGATGGAGACTCGGTTCAGACAGATACAAACCCGACTGAAGGCCGTCACACAGGAAACTGAAGAGGTAAAGGGCTCTGGCACTGATTAACGCCTCATTAATTTGATTTCTGTTTATGGACATAATGTTCACTTATTCTAATCTTAAAGTAAACAGACTAAAAAAGAATAGGAGAAAAATTTTAAAAAGTCATGGTTATTTACAAAGTTTGGAAGTTTTACCAGTTGTGGATCTCCTCCTACTTATTACAAATATGTGATTCTGATGATGATGATGATGATAACAGCCTCTTGTCTGAATCTGTTTTTTTTTCTTCTCTGAAGTTTCCCCCTCGCTGCAGTCTGACAGACTGTCTGAAGTTTGTTAAACTTGTAGGAGGTTCTTCATGTGATCCAACAATTTAGCATCAGTGCAGTGGCGGTCTGCACTCCGCTCAGAATTCTGCGTATGATGTTAGAAACTAGGAGATTGTCTGGCTGCAGAGGAAATGTAAAGTTTCACATTTCTGAAACCGCTGCTTAAAATAAATGGGGGATTTTACAATATTCAAATTGTAAAGAGCTCTGCTAGAGAAGACGTGAATGTCTGAGGCTATTTTTGACTTTAGGAAGTTATTTTTCAGCATAAAATTGACAGGAAGCATGTCGTGTTGGATAAAATGAGGTCTTGTTTCATACAAATTATGGGAATAACCAGGTGGTACATCGTCAGTTGTAGTTAGTACTGTCCTCTGACAGTCCAAAAACATGTTGGGTTATTAGATGATTTTAAATGGATGTGTTTTTGCAAGAATGAAAATCAGATTATGGATGTCTTTTGTCTGTGTCTTTATGTTGAACTGGTGACATGTCCAGGTAAAAACATCTGTTTTCTATGGAAGCAAGTCAGTCTCACCATGATAAGAATTAAAATAAAAAGTTAAAAAACTTCCTTTTATGTGCATTATGTATTTAACTACTTTTTATTTTTATCTTTTGCCTTTGTGTTCAGCTTCGCTAAGTTTTAGTACCCCCCATTCATCGTTATCTTTCAGTGATTTTGATGGTTATTTCATTGTCTGGCTACAGTTTGACCCAGGGTGTTGAGCACAGAAACTGAAGTTCATTAAAGTAGACCAGTCAAAAATCAAGACTATAGGAACATAAAATGAACCACAATTTTCTGACACTAACAAATTAAAATAATAATAATAATAATAATAATAATAATAATAATAATAATAAAAATATAATAATAAATTTATTACATTGAAAACTAACATTTAACAGGGGTTCCTGAAAGTTGGAATTTAGCTCATTGTTGCCAGATAAAGTTGAAGTTTTCCAGACCAAAAATCTGTTTGAAAACCATCACATTACAGTATATTTACGGTTTGAACATGAACGCACATCAGAACAAGCCATGGTAATTTAAAAGTATGTGGCAAAATGCAACAATCCAACAAAAATCCCAGCAAAATCAAAATGAAAACCCAATCTGGCAACACTGGAAATTTTTTTTTTTTTTTACTCCACTGATTCTTGAGTTTTCCAGTATGAGCTCAGGTTAAAAACACCATGAACTCAAGAATCAATCCAGACTGCTTTTTAAAAACGAGGGATGAATACGTGTTCTGACTTTCCTGATATCCAAGTCCAGATTAAGGACGTATTCAAACTCCTACTGGTATTGTAAAGATGTAGCTTTTTATATTAAAGACTCCAGAGCCAAAAGTTTAGAATAATTTTAGAGTGCAAATCCGTAAGATCAAACTTCCCAACAGATTAATGATGAGCAAATCATGTAGCCTGTAAAGATTCTCAAGAAAAAAACCTGCAAATTTTTTCTGATAAACTGAAGCTGAGGAAGAACCGTCTCTGCTGCAAATTCAGCCACTTTAAAGATGGAGAGCATAACGGGCTTAACTTGGATTTTGTGCTCTGCAATTTTGCAGAACTTAACAAAAACTTTAACTAAATGAAAGAAACTAAAATGATTTTAAAGAAGCTCTTTTTAAGGGAAAGCCATAGCATCATGTCCAGGGTTTTGAACACTTGCATACTTGTATTTTAATCATCTGACTCTTCATGTTCCAAGTTTTCCAACACATCGTTTCACTTTTTTTGACTTCCTCTCGACTGTCCTTCAGGCATGTAAGAGCATGTCAAGGTCCCAGTCCTCCCTACTGGAAGGCATTGGGGATGATGATCTGGATTCCAGCGGTGGTGCTCTGTCTCAGGGGGGCAGCACTGAAAACCTGACCGTCAGGCCCAGTGTGGCCCGACGCAGGGCCAACCTGCAAGAAATAGAAAACCTCTACTTTGCTGTAAGCCTTTTATTTTGAAGTAATAATTGTGCTGTCAGTGATGGTGTGAAAAATAACTTTGTGATTTTGGGTTACAGAAAGTTAAAGACTTTCTTGTTGGCAGCTCGCTGGTGTCGAAGCTCCAAGCCAAACACGACCTGCTTAAAGAGGCAGTGGAAAAAGGTACCGCTTCTGCATTTTGTGACATTACAATACGACAAAACACTTTGTGCTGACACAAAGGGTTATCTAACTCCAGTCAGCAACACTGAGGGCTCTTATCTTACAGAACAATGTTGTTCCGCTTCTGTCGTGTTAACATTTTTATTTTCTTCTATAGCTGACGCTTCAAATGACAATAAGCCCAGGTATGGTCAACATATTTGAAACTCTCATTTATTTTAAATGCAATGATTTAAGTGCAATACAAAGAATAATGTAGAAAATGCACATTTGTCATCAGTTTTATTCTGTCTCTGTGTGTTTTTCAGACAGAGGTCTGTGCGAATCAGAAAGAACGCTTCGAGCGGCGGTTTGCTGCACAACCACAAACTTTTCACTGGAGACATGTTGTCCTTCATAAAGGTACCAAAATATGCCATTTTAACTTTCAGCAATATTTAATCGGTTTAAAAAACAAAACGACCTCTATTGCATCCTTTAAACTTTATCATTAAATGTTTGTTGTTTAGGCGTCGGGGCAACAGATTCCAATTGTGGTGGAAAGTTGCATCCGCTTCATCAACCTCTGTGGTTAGTATTCAATAATAAACAATTAGGATAGCAAAAGCTCAAGCTAAATTATTCATATAAACTTTTAAGAGTTATTCAATTTCATGTTGTCTTTTAGTTGGATGCCAATTTGCACAGATGGCAATAAAAAAGAGGAACTTGGCACTTATGTTTAGCTTTTCTAGATAAGTTTGCCACAAACTGAGGCCACAGTTTCTGCCACCAAAACTCTTCATGTTTGCACAATGTTTTAAAGTGAAACATGAAAGTCCCCCTCCACGTTGGAGGGATTATAACATGTGTGTCCATCAGGGCTCCACCATGAAGGGATTTTTCGAGTGCCAGGTCCTCAGGTGGAGGTTAATAATCTGAGGGACGCCTTTGAGCGAGGTAGGCCTGTTTGTGTGCGAGCTGGAAAAGTGTGTACACAAATGAATGCTCCCTGTAGAGCATTAATAATGTGGGGCAGTGTGCCTTTGGTGCCCCTGCAGGTGAGGACCCCCTGGCTGACTGCAGGTATGACCTGGACTCTGTAGCCGGAGTCTTGAAGCTTTACTTCAGATGTTTGGAGAATCCACTCTTCCCCAGCAGCAGCACCAGTCAGCTCCTCGAGTCTGCTCGTAAGTGTGTGTCGGGGGCGTGTGTGAAAATGTGAGGAGTTTAGCGCAGCTCATCTTTTAAAAAAAAAATAAAAAATTTTATTGCTTTTCCTCAGAAATAATGAATGAAGCAGAACGAGCAGCTCAGCTCAAGGCTGTTGTTTGTTCCTTCCCCGAGCCGGTCATAGTCGTCATGAGATACCTCTTTGCATTCCTTCATCAGTGAGTACTGTCGCATGTCGCTTTTGTGCAAAGACATGTTTTGTCTGGACGATAAGCCACGGGCTGCAAATTAAACAACTTTATCCATAATCTACTCTGACTTTTAGAAGTTTTTCTTTAAATGTTAGGTAGTTGGGCAACGGCAAAATGATTTCAGGAAGCTATTTCTACAATTAACAGGAACAGATCAAGATCTGAAAGGCTAAATATATATACATTTTTAAAAGAGAAACCACTTTATTGTGCAATAATTCAAATTTAACAGCCCCCCTTGACCCCATCAGTACTTCACAAATTCTCAAGTGTAGTCATCTACTATTCTGTGAGGCAACATCTGCACAAAAAGGACTTTTCTAGAGAAGTCAGAAGAAAACCCTTTTGGATTAAACGTTTAGTTTTGAGAGCTGCAGTGACTGAAGTTGTGTTAGAGCAGCTCTACGGTTAGGACAACGGGGGGGTTGATCCGCGAAGCCATGAAAAACTTCAGCATTGGAGGAAGTAAGTTTAAAGTTTTGAAGGTAACATTTACACATCTGTCTCCCAGCCAAAATGTTCTCACCATTCAGAGACTACAAAATGTAGCACAAGTGCAAACTGGGCAGACTTTGAATCGTAAACATGTTCTGTAGAAGGTCGAAGGTTAGAGTGTGATTCTTTCCTTTTAAATCAATATGAAGTGAATCATAATCATATCACCCGTCTGCCATCTCCGTTCCACTTGTTCTCCTTCAGTGTGGCTCAGTACAGTGACGAGAACATGATGCAGCCTTACAACCTGGCCGTGTGCTTTGGCCCCAGCCTGGTGAGGGGGGAGCAGGACGACGACGTGGTGGCCCTGCAGCCTCTGATCAACGCTCTGGTGAAAAGCATCATTCTTCAGCACGAAAGCATCTTCCCCAGTCAGAGTGAAGTACAGGGACCGGTGTATGAGAAGTGCATGACGCTTGAGCAGGATGACTGGTATGTTGAAGTGTTGGACACCACAGCCAGAAGTACCCGCATCACTAACATGTGTGGGTGTCTCTCTTTCAGTGAGGCTGTTCTAGAGGAAGGGGAAGCAGAAGCAGAGTACAGCTGTTGTAAAGATGGTGAGAATTTTTATTTTTATTTTTTTCTCCAAAACAAAACTTTTTTTTAATTTTTTTTAAACTCAATTGAAATGTGTTTTGCTGCAGATTCTGAAGCAGGATCCTTGGCTGAGAATGGTCAGACGAAGATGGAACGTCCTCGAGCTCACAGCAGCGGCTCCTTGGATTACAGTAAAGTACCAGCAGGCGGAGACGTCTCCTCAGCTGGAAGGATGTCTCTTCTGATACCAGTTGGACCGCCAGTCATGCAGAGGAGACCACTGTCTCCAAACTATTTGTGCAAGGAGTGAGTGAAATGGATTCATCTGAAATAAATGCAGAAATGGTTAAAAAAAAAAAAAAAAAGTATTTTAAAAGTGATAACTTTTTTTAAAATGGTAAAACTATTCTCTCCTCTTGCCTTTTTTTAATTTAAGGTTAGTTTTAAATGGAATTGTTGGGTTTTTTTTTTTTTTTAGAAGGACCTTTATCTGTTTCTGTCTATGGTTTCTCTTTTTCATGTCCTTATGCATTTCTGCTTTTTATTATAAGGTCATTTAAAGTTGATGGCTTTAAAACCATCTACTTTCAGCAGCCTCAAACAAGAAGCAAGGCTCGTAAAGACTGTCTGATGTTCATCAGCTAACAAGGAGAAAGTTTATTTTTCCAACAAACCGATAGTCTTTATTTGCACAATAAACCAAATATGCACAAAAATGGAATGGGAATAATTGTATAAATAAATAGAAAGTAGATATGGGCATTGATTTTTTTATTTTATTTTTTTTATTTTAATTTTATTTTTTTAAAGGGGAGCACAAAATATCAATTTATTTTATAATTTAAGTATAGTTTTGCTTATTTTTTTTATTTTATTTTAACTGTTGCATGAAAACGTACAGACCCATTTTCAAAATGTCTGTGTTAATTTTCATTTTCTGTCCCGAGTAGATTCAAAAGATAATTTTCTTTTTCCTGCAGAATTCAAAAAGGTTCATCCTCAGAAGAACTCTGTTGTAAAGTAGACAAGGTATGTCGTGTGATTGTTCTTTTTTTTTTTTATATATTTTATTTAGAATTGGATAAGGAATAAATCAAGTGTTATACAGGATCAGCTGCTTGGACGTTAGTTCAACTCAAAGGACTTTTTTTTTTTTTTTTTTTAAACTTACTGTTAAATAATTGATAATGTTTTTAGTTTTTATGATCATTTTCAATGTTCCCTCTTGTTTTTCTGTCATCCCATTTGTCTCGTACTGAAGGAGGTCTGTCGCCAGATGCAGTCAGTCTTCAAGGAACTCCTTTCACGACAGCCTCTGCAGGAACTCTCCTCCTCCTCGCCGCCTTCTGCTCAGACTCAACAGAAAAAGGGGAAGCGAGAGGGCCGGAGGGGGGCCAGGCTTTTCAGAGCAGCCGACCCACTGGACTGAGAGGACTCGCATCAGAGGGAGGATGCTGATGAAATCTGAGGGGGCAGTCTGAACAGTTCTGACAAAAGCTTTCAGCACTCAGAGACTGGAAAACTGAAGTCTGCTGACCCAGAGACCCTTCTCCCTTGACTGGTTTAGGATTATTTCATCTGAGTGGCTCCTTCTTCAAAATCCCTCTGGGACACGAGTTTATACAGTAAGTCCCTGGAGGGACTGCAGACCTGCAGGAAGAAATAAAATCTGTGAATTACTTGAAACGCATGTCTGTGAAATGAGGCAGTGCTGCTGTTTGACTGAATCTGTGAAATGCAGTCGCTCTGAGTTTACAACAGTTTTCAGTCATTTTTATTGAGCACAGCCCTTCAAGAACAAAGACTTGTTCAAAATAAGATTAAAACCCTTAAAGAATGATGTGAATGAATACAGATAGTTGGGTCAAATTAATTTGACTTGTTTCACACTTTAATTTGTCTGCGCATGCACAATAAATCATTTTCTTGTTTTATTTTAAAGTAGATGGGAATCTTAATTTAATCACCACGTTTGTTTGACAAAATTCTTTAGAAAAGGTATTTCCTGTCACACTTGAGCTTTTATTCTTGTTCCCTTCAGCTTGACAGAGCAGCGTCCAGAAAGTTTTTAGAGGCCAGACGGGAGTTACTGCTAATCTTAAAGTGGCACACTAAAACCAGAAGACGTTTTATTACACTGTTATATGAACTGTTAAGTTGTAAAAGATTAGTAAACATAACTTGTGTTGACTGGTTAATGTGTAAGGGCTTTATGATTGCTAGGTAACTTGTACAACTCAGCTATCAAGTAGTTTGGTCCACTAGTGCAGCAAGACCACTGACTAGTATGGCTTCTGCTTCAACTAGTTGGGCAAAAGTGCCACCAGATGGTAAAAATAATTAAATGACTAGTACGAGTGTGAAAGTAGTTTATATGAAGGAGAAAAGCACAATAATGAATATCAGATTTAAATATACCAGAGTTGGCAAGATTGATCAATTTAGCCAATAATTCTCAGTCGGATCATCTGGACAGTTTCTTTTTTATAGAGACATTTCACCCTCTATCCTGAGGGCTTCATCAGTCAGAGGAGTTCCAGTAAGGTGTTTCCCCACCAAGCAGTAAACTCGAAGTGTACGGTATTAATGACAAAAACAGAAATACAGTAATTAAATGATGTAATAACCGTAAAAAGCACAATATAAATTACATTGTACGAAGTGCAGTTGTTTCATACAATAACACATGTTGGCTGCTCAACTATCCTAGCTAACTATGTGAAATAAATGCACAAATAACTTGCCATACACCCAAACCTTGTGTTAAGTTCAGTACATTGTGTGTTGGGATATCCTTGTGAGGAAACTCCAGCAACTAAAGATTTAGTGACTTTTTAATCAGTCCTGCTCATCAGTTAATAAAATTTAGTTTTATAAGTTTTAACATCTTGGAGTCTGTGGTGTCTGTTTCTTTGTAATTGTTTGTTGTCCATGTCTTACTTATTGGTTGAAGAGTAGCTAGAATTGACATTTTAAAGAGTGTTCTTGTGCTGAAACTATTCGATCGTTGCTACCATTTATTTTGATCTACAGTGTAAAAACAGGATTACATCTCAAATGTATGCTCAGCCTTGTTTACAGATTTTTTTCAGTCTTTTCCCAGTTCTCCAATAGCTCTAAGCCATTTACATTTAATAACTAGAATTATTTATAGACTTTGTTTACTTGTTATACAATACTTTTTACCTTTCTGTATTGAAGCTACAATTATGAGTGCATCCCAACCTACATCTGCCCCGATTCAGCACTTTGGTTGGCCTTGTAGCTGTTTTAAGTGCTCTATAAATGAAATGAAATGGTATGGTATGATTCCAGTTGTGGGGAAAAAGCTCATCTGACTCATCTTTTAATTAGCAGTGATTAAACTCAAAGGAATGTGTAAATATATCTTTTCAAATTATTTCAGTTTGAGCTCCATTTTATTGAATGCCCACCTGAATTTCAATTTCATTCTTTTGAAAGGTTTGCCCTTCACGTTTTCTTTCTCTTCCCAGTATACTGTACTTCCAATCTGACTGCTTTATTCAACTTTTTTTTTGTTGTAAATACAGTACTTTCACTTGATGCAGCAATTTCTTCTCATGCTGAAATGAGTAATTATCCACCATCGTGACCCACTTTTAAAGATTCTTGCTTGGAAGTAAATTATAAGAAATTAGGGATGAATCAAGACTTTTGCACACGCAAGCTCCTGTTTTCTTTTTGGCTGACGTGTCTACACTCTAGTTTCCCAGAATCCCGTGCGGCGCTTCAGTCCACGTCTTCGCGGCGCATGCGCAGTGATTTGGCAGCGCTGCGCTGAGGTGGACTTCCTTTCATTCAGACAGCGTGAAAGTCGCTCACCGGTTCAACAACCTAACCTCCGGAACAAAAGGAAGCATATTGGACATCATGATAATCCGGGTCGCCGCCTTCCTCACGCTACTGGTGGTCGCCTGTTCGGGTAGGTGTTAGGAGAAGCGGCGAATGAGAGCCATGATGGTTCAGTTAGCTTGTAATGCTAAGCTAGCACATATGGTTGTTTGTCTCTCTAAAACGTGTTAAGACTGTTTAGACAATGCGATAACTCCGCAGATTATAGCTAATTTTATGTCTGCATTATTCCAGGAGAGACCTGCACGGATCCAGTTATCACTCCGTCGGCCTACACCACCTCTGACGCTGTCATTTCCTCCGAGTCCGTCTTCATCGTTGAGCTCGGCCTGACCTGTGCCAACGGAGCTCAGGTATGTACCAACTGTCCTCCTGCACGAGCTCTTACTGACGCTGTAGTGATGATGATCGTCTCTGTCCTCTCCAGAGTGTGACTCTGTATGCTGATGTCAATGGAAGACAGTTCCCTGTGACCAGAGGACAGGATGTTGGTAAATACCAGGTATGGGTTACTGAATCTGTTATGACCATTTTGGTTTCGCATGTGGTAAATCTCGGTAAACACTGAGTATGGTGTAGGACTGTAACAAGTTATCAGTTGACTGCTGGCACTATTGAAACTATTTCTATGCTGTACATAGTTCACTTCAGTGCAGCCACAGAACTTGCCATCCTTTTACCTCCTATCTGCAAGTATTTCATGTTGCTGTGGTAATCCTCTGAGTTATCCAGATGCCTCCTAGAGTCTCCAGTTCCACAGATGGATGATGATTTCACTGTTTACAGATGAATTTAGCAACAATAATCCTTTATTTGGCCTGTGTAGCTCTTGGTGTCCTTTTATTGTGTAGCTGACCACAGTTATAAACCGGAGGATCTGTGTGGAGCATCCATCCAGCTGAGCAGGAACAAATCCTAGCTAACAGATTTATTCATGAGACATGTACATTTGTTGAATGACAAGATGTGTCAAAAACCAAAAAGAGAAACAAAGGTTGGAAAACGCCACAAAAATCAAAGGTGTATCAGATATTATGGATCTTAGAAAGGTTCAAATATCTTAGACTGATATTTATATGCATTTCAAAGATCCTTCTTGATTAAATTAAAAGTATATTTCTCTGAATGCTGAACTAATGATGGCTGGCATTTTTTCCCTGGTTTGTTTTAAAACATGATGCTAACCCAAGACTAAAGACTTTGAATCTGTTCATCATTTTTCCTCTCTCAGGTGTCCTGGAGTCTTCCTCACAAGCAAGCCGCCTCAGGAACCTATCAGGTGAAATTCTTCGATGAGGAGTCCTACAGTGCCCTGCGCAAGGTTTGTTTTGAAAACTACCTGAGATTTTTTTTTATCGAATGTAGTCTTCTTAAATGAAGTTGAATTAATAACACAAGTCTCTATTTTATTCCAGGCTCAGAGAAACAATGAAGATGTAAACGCCATTCAGCCTCTGTTCGCTGTCAACGTTGACCACAGGGTGAGTCTTCTAAAACGTGACTGCAGAATTAGTTCAGTGTCACTGAACAGCTTGTCTTTTTAAAATGTTTAGTGGGAAATAATAAATCCACAGCTTCACAGAACATGGCACTATCAATTAGGTTTTCCAGCAAGCTATTTATTTGAATTTTTTTCAGTTTTGTAGTTTTTTTTAATTTTATTAAATGTTTTCAGCCTTACTTACCCACAAATGACAGATATTATTTGTAGTACCGTATTTCCCAGCCTATAAGTCGCAGTTTCTTTTTGTTTTTTGCATAATTTATATTCCTTGCGACTTGGGTCTAAGCAACATATTTATGGATCTTTTCCCATATTTATAAATAATTTTTTGGCTGAGATATGACTGTTTTCATTCATTCTGACTGAAAAAAAAAAGAGCAGTACCACTTTCAGCCACTTGATGGCAGCAGAGTAGTAATAGCTGTGTGGCATGCTGTTGTATCATGTAATGGGTAAATGTGGCTATAATGACAAATTCAAAAAAGTTCAAGACCAAAACAACTGGACTTTATTTATTATACTTTTGTTTTTGGCTTGAATTTTTTTAATTGACCTTGTCCTGGATGGCTGAGAATCTTCAAGAGCTGTTAATCAATCGGCCTACCATAGTATCCCCACCTTCATTCTGCTCACTGCTTGGAAACCAGTTGCACCGCCCCGGCGAAATGCAGCTAATTTGACCATTAAAGTGCATTTATTAAGCAAATGTTAGACTGAGACGCACCTTTGCTCTAATTTCGAGCAAACGAATAATTGTTTAGGTGCTTTTCTTGTTAATTTTCAGAGAAATGAGCCGCGTTCCTCCCTCTGCACGTTCATGGAGCACCGAGGCAGCGAAACCATTTTTGAAATTCAGCTGATTTGACCATTAAAGTGCATTTTTTAAGGAATAGTTCAACTGAGACACACCTTTGCTATAATTTCGAGCAAACAAACAATTGTTTTTAGGTGTTTATCTTGTTAAATTTGCACAGCAACTCGTCGCGTGCACGCGTTTACTTCTGCGTATCGGCTTTTGAAATACAGCTAATTTGACCGTCAAAGCGCATTTATAAAGCAAACGTTGGATTGATACACACATTTAATATAATTTCCAGCAAACAGATAATTGTTTTTAGGTGTTATTCTTATGAAATTCTTGTTAAAGTCCTCTTGTGCACGCTCCCGCAGCCACCATTTGGCAGCCAATCGCTTTTTGGCACAAGTACACATTTCTGGGTTCGGCCCACATTTCTGGGTTGTCAGCGGTGACCCGTACCAAACGCGACGTGTCAGTGGTGACACATAATAGATGCGACGTATATGGCGAAGCGACATATTTATGGATTTTTCCACTTTATTACACAAATATGGACTGATGCGACTTCTAGGGCAGTGCGACGTGTACGGTGGAAATTACGGTACTGAGTAATATCTAAAACTGAGCCAATGGGAACTTAACTTGGTTCTCTATCATGGGATCAAACAAATGAGTTCACTTCTGACCATTTTTGAATAGTCTATATTAACATTCACATGATTTTTTTCCCCCTTGTATGGGTTGAGACATTACAAACTTAAGTTAATGGACTAAAAGGACAAGTAGTATTTAGAATCTTACTGGGATTCAGTTATTTTATATTTGCTGCTAGACATTACACATTACTTTTTAAAAACGTAGGCCTCTATGGAATTTTTTTAATCACTAATTGAATTTTAAACATTTTTTTTAAATGAAACTAATAACAAGGATCTTATTGTTGACTGCAAACTTTGTGATCTAAAAATGATTTTTTTTCTCAGTCACCCATGTTTTAATCCTCTCAACACAAATTACTGTGAAATATTTTAGCGATTTGAAGAGTTTATTGGATCTTTCTGTGAGTAATTTCTTCAACCATGCCCCTCTTCTCATTCCAGGGTGCATGGAACGGCCCGTGGGTGTCAACTGAAGTGGTGGCAGCTCTGATTGGTATTTTAGTGTACTACTTGGCCTTCAGTGCCAAGAACACCATCCAAGCATAACCTGATCCACAATAATGCTTCCACCTCTGGATCATTAAAGACTGAACTCTGGTGGATTGGACTAACAATCCGTTGTCCAGTGTTGCAGCAGAACCAGCAATGTTTTGCTGCTTTAAAGGGCCAGAAAAAAAAAAAAGAAAGTGGCCTGTCTTTTTTTTTTTTTTTTTAAATCAGATTGTGCAACCACTTTTATAACTTTTCAAATTGATTTAGTCACAAGTCGTCCTGTGAGTGCACAAAGGACTGTAATTCTTTTTTTTCTGTGTGTGTGTGGGTATGCTGGCCCGAGTGGGACTTGTGCAGATGTTTTGAATACCAACTGAGCTCCATGCTCCTGAGATGTGAATAATGTGTCGGTGCTGGCTGGCCTGAACAGGCCAATGTAGACATGTCTCTTCCAGGAAAATGAATAAATGCCTTGTTCTAATTTCAGTGTAATGCGTCTGCTCCATATACCTTGTTTTTTTTTTTTTCTCAAATGGTAACAAAAAATAAATATGCCGCTTCATCCATAGCAGCGTTTCAATTAAGATGACCTGATGTATTGATTTTATTTTTATGCTGAATATAAATCTGCTTGGATAACCACTCCTGAGCAGATTTGTTTCACAGACTAATTGAAAGAAAAGCTGTTTTCTCCAGTTCAGCTCATGTTAATTTGACCATTTTGATTCGTGTTGTGTATACATAGAAACATACATTTCATCACCTCGGCTTCAAGGTCACAAAGCAAGGTCAAATGTTATACAAGGTTTTTGCCTGTCTAGGCCATTGCTATAGATAACTGTAAGTTTGTTGACAGGCATATAATATGTCGTTAGCAAAACTGTTACAAAATGCCGTTTAAAAAGTCTTGTCTGAGTTTAAGAGAAAAGGCATCCTTGATGTAAACGTTGAAGGTTTTAGCTGAGCAGCAGATCGACATGTTAGCTTTTATTTAGCAGGACTGCCTAACCAGCATTTTTACAAAGTCGAGGCATTTGGGTTTGAGCCCCAGCACTTTACACGTTTCTTTTTATTTCCCAATACACACCAACAAATGTAAGTGTCCTTTCAGCAGAGCGCCTGTAGTGCTGGTGTTTCCAGCTCCCACATGTGCAGTGCCACCAGCTGAACACACTGTGGCAGCTCGGTGCTGCTGTTGAAGTATCTGACAGGAAAAAAAAAAGTTTTACAGAATTGGGTCGTTGCTTCATAATGCATGTTTTTAACCTGTCGTTAAAGGTACCTAGAGCAAGCTTAGCTGATGCGCTGTAGTTTATTGGAGAGGTCCACGCTGCTTGAACGCCTCAGTCTGAAGGGCAACGTGTAAGAGATGCACATTGAGGAACACGGTGGTCTCATAAATGTTCTGTTCTACAAAGGAACACAGGATGTTTATCAGTTATCTGTTTTCTTCTTTTAATGGTGACTTTGTCATCCCTTACACCCTTAATGTGTCGTGAACACATCTGGGCTGCTGGCACTGGGACAATGGAGATGTTTAATCTGAGCAGACTTGATCCAGATGCTCTGGTGGAGCTGGCTCATAAAACTGTGGGAAGAGGCCAGTGGCTAGATGAAGGGGATGTAAATGGATTGAACAAACAAACAGTCAAAGACCAGCAGATCGCCACTAAAATGAAACTTTTCCTCTTTTCTTCTTGTTTTCCTTTGTTGCTTGATTCAGTTCTGTAGATCACTGCTGACGTCCGAGCCCAGAGTGGTGGATGTAGAATGAAGCGTCTTAAAATCATTCCAGAATAAATGGGCACACAGTCACAATTAATTTGGCAGAAATGTTAAAAAGACAAATGATTAATGTGAGTGCATTTTTATTTATTTTTTTTGCAAGTCAGTGTAAAGAAATGCCAAAATACCAGTTCTGATGTCATTTTCAAGCTGAAAAAAACCAAACTTGTTGGGTGGGTGGGGGCGACTTTTAACGGATAGCTGTGGAAACATGTTTCAGTTGAGGGGGCTGCTGGGTGCAAGCTATCAATGCATAATAATGACACGTCCAGCTGAAACGGATGACAAGTTAAAGAAAACAACTTTGGAATTTATAAAGAGTAAGTAGAGTCAATCATCCAGGTAAATAAATCACAAAAACGTTCAATCATGGCATCTGGAATGTTTCTTTTTTGGAAGAAAATATTTCATCCTTCATCCGAAGGACTTCATCAGTCTGAGGCCTGCCAACAGGATCGGTCATATTAAGTAGCACCTTGTTGACATGTTTCAAACCAGTTTGCTGTTGAGTCCCCAGGCAGAATGGAGGACCATCAGTCTAAAACAATCGATCATCGGTGCATAACAATCAAATGTTATAAGCAAAATGGCCGCTTAATACTCACCGAACCAGCTCAAGGACAAGTTGACCAAAATGGTTAAAAACAAAAAGAGTAAGCAGGCTCAATCATTCAGGCAAATAAATCAAACATTTAACTTTTTTAATAGATTTTTAGTCCTAAATAAATCTCTTTATACGTCAATGGTCATATGGACAGATTTTTTTTTTTTGCTGAGACATTTCATCCTTCATCCAAAAGACTTCTTCAATCTGAGGAGCCACCAAACAAACTGATTCCCACAAACAGCATACTCCATAGTGAAAAGAAAAAACAGTTTACCTGTGCTAAGATGGCCTCCAGGACCTGCCATCTCCCCCGTCAACTTCTCTGAGACAGTCATGTCAAAGTGGTTCAAAACACCAAAGTCCATGCTCAATAATCCAGGTAAAAATCCAACAATATTCATTTCTTTTTTTTGAAGCTTCATGGGGGAGAGGGTGGGCCTCGGAGGCCACCGTAGTGCCAGCCAACTGTTTTTTCTACTATGGAGTATGCTGTTTGTGGGAATCAGTTTGTTTGGTGGCTCCTCAGATTGAAGAAATCCTTTGGATGAAGGATGAAACGTCTCAGCAAAAAAATAAACTGTCCAGATGACCTGACTGAACATTGTTGGATTTTTACCTGGATTATTGAGCATGAACTTTGGTCTCTTTATACATGTTTTATTTTTTGTAAATACAATTTTATCCATGTTTTTGGGCATGCAAGGACTCTCCATCAGGAGGTGCTGCGGCACCCACTGCATCCCTGCTTCCTTTGGCATTAAGCTCAAATCTGGTCAGAAAGGGCTTTTTATTCTGTAATCTCCATGCCCAATTACTAAAGGTTTCATTATGCTGTAGTTTGTTGGAAGGAGTAGCTCAGTTTGTGCATGTGTGTGTGTGTGCGTGCGTGTGCGCATGAAGCAAAGAAAAACTGCTTTGACGGAGGTGTGTAAAACAGCAGCTCCAGGCGCAGACACTGATAGGCTTAGTGGGAATCAGCAATGTGGAAGCTGGCGTCTCACAAATGATTCTCACATGGAGTCACACTTTCTGTCTGCAGCAGTTTTCCTTCTCGTTATTCCCACTTTCTGGAATGCAGATCAACAAACTTAATCATCAAGAAAAGAAAAAAAAAGACTGTATCCTTTTACAATAACAGTTTCTGTTTTGGTTTATTCATGGATGCTCAGGTGTGTAAAATGTGTGTCTTTAAAAAAAAAAAAAAAAAAAAAAAACAGCCTGGAGAGAAAGTACTCTGTCATTTTGACGTGTTTGTGTTTTCCTTCATTATCTCTTCTTGTCCTGTTTGCACATACAGTATAATCCTCTTTGCCTGTTAAAAAAAAGACCAAATATGGGGAATGTTCCTATTTTATTCATCCTATTAGAACCCCCTCATTAACAGCAGAAGGTCAGCAGCTGTATAAGTCATTGTTTAAGTCATTTACAGCTCCGCTGGCAGCGCAGCTATGAAATAGAGTAGGTTAAACAGGAGTGGACGCATCACAACAAGCCATTCCTCTGCACATAAATCCTGCACGAGTGTGTTGAATGAATTCCCATAAAATATGTTTTATCACACCAAGTCCACATGCCTGTTCTTACCATGAAGAAAAGAAAACCCGGAGGGGGTTTGTTGAGGTGTTTAAAACAACAAGTAATGAAAACAAGGTGGCTGAGAGTGATAAAAGCAAGAGGAAAGTCCCCATTTTAATAAATGTGACTATCGTAAACTATGAGGTGAACGTTTGTGCTAAATTATGTCACAGTTTTGTTTGTCTTAAAATTCGAAGCTCCACATGGACAGTGGAGTTCGCTGGTTGGTCTCAGACAGATTTGCCTCCCCGTCATCTCAGAACGAGTTTAGCAGCCTCAGCAGTCATCAGGTCTGCAGACTTAAGCAGTGCAAACACATTGCTCTGTATATTAAAGGTCGTGGCTCCGGGTCTGATTTATACAGACTGTGATCAAGGCTGCGGGGCTCTGTCATTCTTCAGTGCCACTGCTTGTAATCCTTGGCTGACCTCAAGATGATCTGAAGAGGAAAGATGCCCGTATCTTTGTCCTTGCAGCTGCCTAGCTATCCGAAAGGGGCGTGTGGTGTGCTCATATATTTATTTTCACACCCCATCACAGCTTTAGGCCCGACAGAGAAGGCTGTCCACCTGTAATGATGAGGTAACCTTCATTTCAAACATTGACCGTGCTTCAGTATGGAAACAAAGAACATTAGGACGTTCAGCATAAACACCCCGGCCTCCCATACAGAGCATCTATCATTCCATGACAGGGGAGGGATGATGAGGGTTGCGGTTTTAACAACAACTGTGATGCCTTTCTGCTCTTAATACACAAGACAGAGTGAAGAGGAAGCTCACTGCAACGCTGGGTCTATTTTTAGATGATATTTTGAAGGTGTTCGTGTCAGGAAATACTCTTCCCTATTAGAGTACATGTATTATTAAACGGTTTCAATGCCCTTTAGTGGCTGCAGAAAAGCATATTGCACTGATCGAGCATTTTTGGCCTCTCCCATCAATCTGAAAAGCTGGGTCAATCGTCCTCTGACCCCAACTTCCTGTCAGAGAACGGATAAATATATGAATACTCAGAAGGTTTGGGAGAAGTTTATCCATTTCCTGATAAAACAAAGTGAGACACGGGACGTTGTTGCAGTAACCTTTTGTTTGGCGTGGAATCAAAGCGGTGGGATTCGTGCCTGGGGAACAAATGCACAGTGGCGTGCTGGAAGCCCAAACACTTGAGGCGCACAGAGGAAAAGGTGAGGCTTGTCCTTTCGACCTGGGCGAGTAGTCCAGAGAGACACCTTGAAAGCATCCCAGCATTGTCCCACAGACTCATATAACACTCACAGAACACTGTTCTCTGATGAAAGGAGGGGGGAGGCGCTGAAACGGGCTCAGCAGCTCTGAACATAATGCACCATTATCACCAGGAACATCTCATCTGGAGCAGTTGGACTGAAATATGTTCAAATATAATCTCAGTTCGTTAGATCTGCTTTTACAGTAACACTTACACACACATACGTATGTATATATATATATATATATATATATATATACATGCGTGTGTGTGTGTAAATTCTACTTTACAACAAAAAATAAAGTGTATAAATGGCTCAGGGTGAAGGGTAACATATCTCGTGATCCCTGCTCTGATGGTTGCTCTGTCCAAGAACAACATCAAGATTCTTCCATTAAAAACATCTAGCTTCCTTCACAGGCTCTTGGTTTTAACTTAGACTATTTTATTTGTTAATGTAAGTGTTTTCCCTTTCAACTGATATATATTTTATAAATGCAATTGTTTCTCACTCTTGTTAAAGTTTAATATTGGTCAATGTTTTTTAATGCTTTGTTACTGAGACCTGTGTAGATTGTTAAAAAGGGATTGTTATGGTGTACTGAAGTGAGGTTCTGTGGAAACATTATCTTAACTGCTGTTGATGGTAGTGTTTATTCTGAAATATGGTAATATTTTGTGAATTTATAATTTATTATTTATGTGGCTGAGTGGTTAGAGCTGTCATCCTCCAATGTGAGAGTTGGGGATTCAAGTCCACCAGCAGTCACATGACCAAGTGTTCCTGGCAACCCCTCGTTGCATCCAACGTGTTTCCCATCAGTGTATGAATGTGATAAATCACTGATTATTCTCTGTATATAGTAGAGTGCTGTATGAACGGGTAAATTAATGCACAGATTGTGTTGTAAAGCACTTTGAGTATCTTGATAAGATAGAAAAGTGTTATATAAGTACAGCCCATTTACCATTAAAAAAAAAAAGTAAAAATACAGTAAATTCAAAGTTTGGAATAAAATATTATAAAATGTGTATTTGTTATACTGAAAGATTGAAATATTTAAAATTTTTTGGTTGTTTTAGTTTGTTTATCATAAACATTTACTGTGATGGACGGATGAATGGACGGATGAATGGATGGATGAATGGACGGGTGAATGGATGGATGAATGGACGGGTGAATGGATGGATGAATGGACGGGTGAATGGATGGATGAATGGATGGATGAATGGACGGGTGAATGGATGGATGGACAGACCATAAAAGACCAGTATAAGTAAAGGTTGAATGAATAAAGAAGATAACTCAGTTTTAAAAAATGCATCATGCATGGATCACTGTCATTGTTTTTTTGTTTTTTTAAGTTTTCACATTATTATTATGGCAACCACAGCTGCAGATATTTTTATTGTAAATGCCTTTTTTTATTTTATTGTGTTTAAAATACTTCCGTTTGGAGAAGTACAGTTTAAGAAGGAATGGGTTACTGATGACCTGACATGATAGATTATTTTCTGGTACCTGGTCCAATCATTTTGTTCACCCACTCACTTTTAAATGGATTAGAGTGTGAATAAGTGGAGAGTTCAAACCATTGACATCAAAACGATGGACAAAACATCTCCACATCCTTCCACTGTTCAAAACTGAAGCAGACAACATGAGGGGTTTAGACACAGCCATGTTGTATTTGTTTCGTCAGAGTCTGCAACACATGGATGAGACTGAAAGTCCCACCATCTCTCCTACGCACAATCACGGTGATTTCTGTGCATCAAATAACTAACTATACATAAAAAATATTATCTGTACACACAGCAGCAATACAAAAACTATACAAACCAACAGAGGTCATCTTCAGGAAAAAGTTATTGTGCTTTTTGTTAAGACTAAACCCTTTCCATTTATTTACAGGAGTTTAAACTTGCAGCCAGCCTACAGGGGGCGATCACACTGTTTTAGCTTCAACTTCCACGTTACGCTCCTCTGTCTGGTTATGAATCTGCAGTACGTTGATGGTTTGAAGAGAGCAAGCGTTAATAAACAAGACGATGTGGTTGAACAGGGAACACATATACAGTAAATATGGAGAGAAGATGTAAAAAAGAGAGTAGTCGTTATGGTGACAAGTTATCAAAGAAGATTTAATATCTTAAGTGGATGAGGCTTGTAAGATCTATTAGGCTTAAAAAATATCCAATACGTCTGAGTCAGTTTTGCGTATCATGGTTATTCCACCAGAAACATTAGAAAACCCATGAAGAAAGTGCCCTCAGATAACCACATAATTTTATTTAAACATCCATGTAATGTAAACCTGAAGATGATGGTTTATAAAATATTGTATGAACCAGAATTATTATATTTTTTAAGAAATTAGAGTTGTTTTTTAATGCCATCCTGGCTGACTCTTCATTCTGATCAGAATTAAACTCTATTTGTCCAAACTGATGTCATTCCGAAAGTTATCTGCAGCAGGTTAGATATTAACTGCTTTTAACCTCAAAAATCTGAAATATCCCTTTAAGTATCTGTGAGTCTTTGGTTTGACAACATTGCAGCTTCAGATAAACAATCAGCTTTTATAAATAAAGTGTAATAACATTTAATGTGCCATACATGTTCAATAAATAAACTTTACATCGTTTGTGCTGCACATGGAATGTTACAAAAAGTTTTCATTCCTTTCTCAATATACATAATGTTTGTATTTCTTACTTCCAAGAGTTCATAAGGTCGTTTAGTGCGACTTATATTGTGTGTTTGCACAACAAGCAGTCACATAATTGAGAACCACTTGGTCGTGGATAATCTGTTTGTTCTTTTTGATTTATTGCCCTCTTCTGTTTGTTTGAGGGTGTGTGTGTGTTTTCTTCTTCTATATATTAATCTGCAATATTGAAGCTCCTGGCAAGGCTGTGTCTTAACTCCAGCTCTCTGCTTTTTCCTACAAATCCCCAAAGTCCAAACTTAATATAATCTCAGCCTCCAGTTTCTGTTTTTAATCGTTTTTTTCCTCAATATGACACATTTTGTGCATATAATTCTGCAGCATTCCTTTTCACTGCTGTTTGTTTTGCTTTCCGTCCAAAGCTCTGTTGTTCTGTATATTACATGTGAGGTTATTAATGCAGCAACGCATCCTTTGCATTCCTGGTGCTCTGCTTTGTCAGAATCAGTCAGTGTTCTCTTTTTTTATATGTTCCTCTCATGAATTACTGCTCAGCTCAGGAGCTGCTGAAGTGAAAATCTCTTGACTTTCCAGGTCATCTTGCATTTCAGCTGCACTGAAAGGTTGTCTTGCACATGGTGTTGACACCTCCAATGACACCCAACCTTTACTAGAGAGGCGGGGCAGACAGGTGATAACAGATGAGTGTCTTGCTGACAAAACAGCTGTTCACTGGAGCTGCAAACATCTGCTAGAGGTCGCGCTCTTATCAAGCTGTGATGCTGTATCCGGTGACGGCAGCAGCAGTGGATCAGTGTGCAGTGGCACGTCCCTGCAGCTGGTGCATTTCCCGTCGTGTCTCGTGTGAGTTCCCGTCTCCTCCTCCCCTGTCCTGTCAGTATTGTGTGTCCTTGGTGGTGGAGGTGTGCGTGGCCGTGGAGTCGTCTGGCAGGGAGCCCCGGCGTCCGAGTCGCGTCCGACAGTGGAGCAGGTTTTGAAGCTCTCTGGACACGCTGCTGGAAAAAGCCGTGTAGATCCACGGGTTGGTGCACGAGTTCAGGCTGGCCAGCAGCATCAGGATGGTGAAGGCCACGCCTGCTGAGAACACAAACGCACACACATCATAAACACACAGTCACGTTCAAAGATGAGTCCAAAAATAACACAGCATTACAGCATATTGCTCAGCACCTTTCATGCCAGCTTCAAACTAAAATTTGTCAGATGGTGAGAAAAAGTTTAAGCCACGGGTGTCCAAAGTGCGGCCCGAGGGCCATTTGCGGCCCTTAGAGTGATTTTGTGCGGCCCACAGCTGCAGTTTAAGAATGGTATCATTTTGACCAGCAGGTTTAAGAGGTCGATGCAGACTTCCTGCAGATTTATTGGTAATCCTTTTTTATATAATGTTTAGATTTAACAGCAAAACAGATGAAAAATAATGTTTTCAAAATTAGCAACATTAAGCAAAATACAAACCTTTGGCTATAATCTTTTTATTTTCACTTCATGGTACATAGCACCAAAAATATTCACTGATTTCTACCAGAAAGGAGACTTTTAGATAATGAGTCATAAAACTTGTCTAAATATTGCAGTTGATAAAATAATCAAGAGGGAAACTGGACATTTTAAATGAATATAACGTGGCATCATCTACATACGAGTTGATCAACTTTATCAAACCTTCTATGAATCTGTTGCAGCGACTGAAGCTGGATGATTTTTCAGAACTTCTATCGGCCTTTTGGACCGTCCAGAAGGTTGATTTCAAAAAGACACTTACTTGAAGTATGCTTCTTTTTTGCTAAGAACAGACTAAAATGAACTTTCCAAACACAAGAAAACAACAAACATAGACCCAACAAATCAAATACATTAAATCATCTTTAAGAAAAAATATAAGCTTAGTGTTTAGGAACCTTTAATGTTTTGGATCTACAACCATTTCAAACTCTTTCTCCACTAAAATTAGTCAACTTTTGCCCTTTCTCCAAAATATTATTCATGTTGAGAGTTAAATTCACATATTTGTGGCCCACGAGTCCTTTCATCTTGATAGTTTTGTCCCACATATGAAAGCGTTTGGACACCCCTGAAGTGCACAAGATCTCGAATGATGTGTTAGTTCTTGTTTCAGGAACTACAGTACTAATCACTCTCAGCTACTACTGCATCCAGTTTTAGCTCAATGTCTAAAAAGTTGCATTAAAGATATTTGTTTAACTTTGGTCAGTTAGCTGTGGTGGCCATCTTGAAATAGGTTGACTCTAAACGTTTATCAGTTGTAAAAATGTATCCGATGATTACTTTTGGAGGGTTTCATTAAAATTCATCTGCTGGTTCATGAAATGTTTTGCTAAGAGACAAACAAAACAGAGTCGATGACATTATCAAAATGCCTTTTCTCACAAGTAGAAGTCATAATTGCAATTCTGCTTGCCTTCTTTTGGCAGCGGGGGATAATAATGTGAATTTTACCACACAGAATGAGGACAAACTGAGAATAATTTACAGTTTACACATTGTTTTGTCCAAGAAAACAAAGACAAGAATGTAAAACAATTTAGTTTGTACAGAAAGCATGTATATTTATTGTTTTTGCTTTACTTCCTGGTGGACTAAATATATCCCAAGAGAACAAAATCTCACATTCTGGCTTTTTTTTTGTTTATTTGTTTCACTCCTATTAATAGGTCTATTAACTACAACATGTTTATTTCTTCGTGGCCACTTGAGGACTGCAGATGAGGACAAACTATTCTGAACATGAAGCTGATAACAATTAGATGTGGGTTCCTGTATGTGTGCTTGTAGTAGCCTGCCAGTAAGGCCTCATCCATATTTAAGCAACTTGTAGCTGCATGTGTGCACACTCTGTGTATGCATGCGTACTTGTGCGTACATGTTTGTATGTTTTTGACAGTGTTTGCAAGCTGCTGGCACGGATCATTCTCGGTGACATGTCGACACATCTCTACGTTGCAAAATTATCAGGGCGATAATCGAGTTATTTACGGGTATTCACCTCGAGTGGTTGTATTTATGTTGAGATCAGAGGACGCCTCCTCAGTCCAAGCTGTCACTCACAGCTTAAGGTGGAACTAGTCATCATCGATTGCCTCATCTGACCTCTGGCTGCCAGTAAACACATCAACAGATGCTGTTTGTTTGCCAAAATCTACAGACATGTGAGCCAGAGGTTTCTGGTTGTGACTCAAAACAAACGGTGTTTTTCACCTTCCGCTTCCCCTCACTGGTCCCACATCAGACCTGCTGTTTGCTTTTGGAATAACGAATGGTCTCTTAAATAATGAACTATCTTTAGTCAATGAGATGGACAGCAACGCTGATCAGAGGTTGCAGATGCAATCACTTAGCTTTTTGTGCCAAAATAGGTCAGATTTGCTCATTTGGAGCAATTAAGCGGATTAACTGGGCTGAGGAATTGCAATCCATCTGGGACAAATAACATCAGGGAGATTCACTTGAAATCCCCGAGACACCGATGTTTGCTTATCTTGCTTTTACAAAGGTGGACTGCATGTTTGTGACCTACTTTGATCTGGAGGGTGAGGATCCCAGGCTGCCCACAGCTGGACGATGAAGAACGGTGACCAGCAGATAGTGTAGACCAACACGATGACCAGAGTCATCCTCACCGTCTTGGACATGGCTTTAGTGATACTTGGAGGTGGAGTGACAGGGTGAGGAGGAGGGGGCACATAATCGCGGGAGCAGCGGGGCTCCTGGAAGTCGGAGCTGCTCGGTGTTTGCTCGTCCGTTGTTGTTATTTGGTGTTCGTTGCAGCAGCTGTTGTACTGAATGACAGAGGGAACGTAGTCGTAACACTCTCCTGCCTGGCTGTTACTGTGAGGATTGTCATTCACAGCCTTTAAGAGATGTCCTACTGCTCCATCCCTGCCTTCCCCCACTTCACCTCCTCCAGAGGCCCGCCTCCCCCTCTCCTTGGCCCGCTCGTCCTCCTTCTTGAAGCTGTGGAAGCGAAAGAGGATTTCATTCCTTTTCAGCTCAGCCATCACTATCCTCTCTGACTTCTGGTAAATGTTGTTGTGAATCTCGCGAAAAATTCTTATCTGAAAAATAGGATGTTTAAAGACAGTTTAGCACGAGGAAAAGAGATGCTCCATCATTCACAGATTGGCTTTAATTGACTGACATTTGCAAATAAATCTGTTTAAAATGAGAGGACATGAAGCAGAGTCTGTTGGTTATCACCCAAAACCCTTAAGAAACACCACTGTTTCACTTGACTATGGAAATATTAATATAAAGTTTTCTTAATGTATTATAAAAGTTTTGAGGTCCCACTGGGATGAGGGGTTAAGAGAAGTTCAAGTATCTCAGAGTCTTGTTACTGAGGTATGGCAGAGCTGGAGACAGATCGATGGAGGGGCCTCGTCTTCAGCAATGAGGACTTTGCTTGAGTCCATGAAACTGGAGAAAGACTTGAGTTGAACTATCTCGACTTTCTGGTCATGGTCCAACCCTCACTTATGGTCAGGAGTTGTGGATCATTACTGAAAGAATCAGACCCTTGGTACAAACAAGATTCTTCCATTAGGTGGCCTGGCTCAGTTTTAGGGTGAGTTGAGGAGTTCCATTATTTGACGGGAGGTGGGAGTGGAGCTGCTGCTCCTTCTCATGCTAAGGCGTTAGCTGAGGTGGTTTGGTCATTTGATAAGGATGCATTATCAAAGGCCTCTCTTTGGTCGTTTTCTGGGCATGTTCCACTGGAAGTAGATCTAGAGTCAGACCCAGAACTTTCCAGAAACATGAATGTTAGGTTAATGGGTAACTTAATTGTCTCTAAGAGTGAGTGTCATTTGTCTCTTCTGTCCTTGTGATGGACTGGTGACCAGTTCAGAGTTTACACACTAACCATTGATAGACACCAGCTCCCTGAAGACAATGGATGTACATCACATCCACTTTCATCCTCAGGTCCTCCTCCTCCTCTCAACTCACCCAACTCACCCTGCTCGTCTGACCACACAGGCTCATTGGGTCGTTCAGCTCCACTGGAAATCTCTCCCCCTGTCCGTCAAAAACTCTCCCACCATCTAGATTTTCAAATCCCGCATCAAAACTTTCTTGAAATTCTTTAAACATGCTTACTGGTTTACTCTAACCTCCTCGTCACACTACCTGTATTTATGTTATATTTAGGTTATGTTATGCATAATGTGTTCGTTTTTTTTACAGCATTTTACGTTGTGTTTTTATTGTCCAGTATCCTTGAACGCCAAGAAAGGCACCTTCAAATAAAATGTATTATTAATTAATTTAATATTAATAAAAATGTATTATTGTTGTTTTTGTTGTTGTTGTTATGATTATGATTATTATTATTATTATTATATTGTCTCTGTATTTTAGGTGAGTTGAAATATCTTGTTTTGTTATTTCCTTAAAAACTATTTCATGACAGATTTGTGTCAGCACTCTAAGTCCATCAACAATTTAAAGTTGTTTTTGTTCAGTTTTTCTCAATCTTGTTCCGCTTTCATAAAGTGTCAAAATATCATTTTTCTTCTGAAAAAACAGGTCATGGGATCATGGATTCTATGTTTGATTGAGATCTGGTACATTCCACCTCCTGGCAGGAGGCTTTCAGTCTTCTCGGCCACGGACCCCCAAGTGCTGTTTTAATTAGGAGAAAGGGATGGACTCTAGAAATATCTTTCCTCAAATAGAGCAGGACTGATGGGAGGCAGCCCAAAATGCCTGTCCGCTACATAACACCAACTGCAGGGTCCCATGGGTTACTCAACAATGGCCTCCACACGCAGGCAGCATTTCATTCATGCCACACACATGATCATTAATGGATAAAGTTGCCCCGTGATGTGCGTGCAATCCAGTTATCAACAGCCTTTGTGGATGCAGCAAAGACCAGTCGAACCAGTGTTACCTGACAGATGGTTATGATGAGGGCAGGCAGCAGGAACACGGCCACGGTCATCCAGGTGACGTAGGCCTTCAGCCCCCACGGCTCAGTAAAGTTACCCCAGCACTCAAACACTCCAGGAGCCACTTCTGAGCGAGAGAAGATGAACACCTGACAGACACAACAAGACACGGTGGTCAGAACACCCCGCAGGCAGAACATAAGGTAATTTTCCCTCACCTGAACTGTAGTGACCTCATCAGGCTAAAAATAGACCAACATCTTGAGCTTCATTGTAGAAACAAGGGTGTGAACACCCGCTGAGCTCTTATTTCACCATGTATTCATGTTTTTTTTGTGTGTGTGTGTGTGTGTGTGTGTGTGTGAGAACGGGTTTATTTGTTCACCCCTCCCTACCTGTGGTATGCTGAGCACCAGTGCCAGGCCCCACGCCACCATAACAGGAGTGTTCCAACGGGACATGGCCCCAACGCGGTAAGCCTGCAATGGGCAGCAGATTGCATGGTGTCGGTCCACTGTCATGGCAACTATCATATAGGAGGAAGCAAACATCCCAACTATCTGCAAGTACTTGATGGACCGGCACAGCAGGTCAGGTCCCTGAAACCTCTCGGTTATGTCCCATATGAGCTGGGGAAGAACCTGGACACACAGGTTACAAAAAAACTACAATCAGTCATGTGTATTTTTATTTGTTTACATTAAGTTTTAGAAATGTAGAAGAGAAGAAAGACAAGTCTGATGGTCTTTATTATCACCTTTGTGGTCTAAGTCTGATGTAGCCCATCCTTTATAGTCCTATGCTGCTACTCTGAATGTTTATCAGTATCACAAATTACAACCGATCACACACTTTCCTGCTGACTTTAACGTCACGGGTGTTTACTTGTAAGAAAAAGACTTTCAACTCCTGTGTGAGTAATGCTTGTCCAAAAATAACAACCTCTTCAAGAACCTGAAGTACATGATAAAGAATATCATCCCATTTATCCGTACTGTTTATGTGTTTGAACTGCATAAATAACGTGCATAAATAAAACCCCCAAGACAACATAATAAATCTTACACTGTCTGAAATATTTATAGTAGAAACAGAAAAAAGAAAGAAAAGAAACTATCATTCCTTGAAGGAATGCAGATAGCTGCGTTGCATGCCAAAGTTTAAAACTGAAATCTTGTTCCATCTGATATCATTCATGTGTTTGGGACGATGCTTAATTACTACCACATCAAATTTTACCTCAGTACTTGTAAAACTGACAGAATTATAGACATTTTGCATTTGCTAAGTTTGATCGTTTGTGGTGCCATCTTGAATCTGACTGACTCCAAATAATCAGATGTAAATGTGCATCCAACAGTGATTCAAGAGATGTTTTACTAACAGAGAGATCAAAACACACACACAAAAGCTTTGACCTCATTATTATCAGCATTTCATGGCGGTCTGTCGTAATTCTTAAATGGCAACAAAATAAGTTCATTATATATATAAAAAAATAAAATAAAAAAAACATTGTTAAATTTACTGTGAATTACTCCAAATAATCAGTGTATTGATGTCATTTTACTGTCTTTATTTCTTGAAAACACATTCATATTTATCATAGTTATATTTAATTTTGATAAATATTAAAATTAAAAAAATTAAAAAAGGAAATTTTTCTTCAAATAAATATAAAAATTCTGTAAGGATTACAGATAGGGCTGATTACTATTAATTATCTGAATTGCTACTTTAAAACCTTAAGTAACAGAAGCAGACTTTGAATATTGTAATATTATGTCATTTTAACTGCTCTGTCAGAAAGTTTCATGCAATCTGCAATAAAAATGTCAAAAGCCACAACTCAACTGATCCCAGGTCTGGAAAAAAGTAGGAAGTATAATCTGAGCAATAATTATAATGTTCCTGACTAACAATCTCATCCACATTAATTTAAATAAGCTTTTAGGTTCAATATTTAAATACAAGTCGTTTGACTCCTTCTACTTGCATTAGTAACATTTCAATCTAAACAAAAGAGTGAATACATTCAAAATTCAAAAAGACTAAAAAAAAAAAACATCAATGGCCTGCAAAACCTTTTAAAGAGTTCATCTTCTCATTAAGAGTGAATGATCTCCAGCCTTTACAAATACTAATAATACTAATAATAATAAAAAAACAGTTTCAACCTAATATTTATGTTTATGTATGTATTCAGGAACATTCCTAGCATGTAAAGCATTTAAAAAATAATAATCAAACAAGCACATTTGCACAAATAGGACCTTAATAGAGTCATTATAAGAAAAAAAAAATTACCATGTCAGTATAAGAATAAAATCAACCTCAAAAGTTTACCCCCCCCCCCCCCCACACACACACACACACACACACAAAAAGATTTTGTAAACAAACCTCATTCATTGATGAAGATTAATTTTCTGGCCACAGTGTGCAATGGTAATTACAGCTGAGCATGGGGGTCTGAAAGGCATGCTTTATGCTTGTGTAACAATCAGAACAAATCACCAGCAGGAGAGAACTGACTCAGAAAAACAGCAAAACTTGAATGAGAAATGATCGTGCTATTTGAGGCATCATCTGAAGACTTTTTTCAAAAAGTCATTTCTATGACAGCATAATAATCCCAAACACATCTCAGCATTGACAACAAACTACTATATTATGTTCCACTTTGTGTCCATTTAATGCTGATTCATCATTCATATAATTCTTTCCCTATGTATTTATTGTATCAAAAACATTCAGCTCATTCAAAAGACAATATGAAATGTTAAACTTTAGATACAAATATTATTTTTCTGAATAAATACATCAATATTTCTTCATTTCCTTCATAAACTTTGTTCTCGCTGGAATCTGCTTCTGCATCTGCTTTTGTCTTCTTGTGCTACTTTTAGCTAGCCTTTAGCTAGCCTTTAGCTATATTTAGCTCATAGCTAGTTTTTGCTATTTTTAGCTTGTAACTAACACATGGCTACTTTTAGATTTTAGCTAGCCTTCTGCAACATTTATTTTTAACCAGCCTTTTGATACTTTTAACTTTGAGTTAACTTCATGATATTTCAGCTTTTATTTAGTCTTTTGCTGCTTTAGCTAGCAATTTGCGACTTTTAGTATTACCTAAAATTTTATTACATTTAGCCTTTTAGCAAGCCTTTGCTACCCCTTTTAGCTTAACTAGCCTTTGGTACATTTAGTTTGTAGCGAGGCTTGTGCTCCTTTTGCTACTTTGGCTTTTAGCAAAGTTTTTTTACTGCATTTTTGGCTAGCATTTTGCTGCTTTATGTATTTAGATAACATATTTTGCTATTAGCTTTTAGCTAGCTTTATGCTATGTTTAGCTTCTACATAGCCTTTTCCTACTTCTAGTCTTTAGCTAACATTATGAAACTTTTAGCTTTTAGATATATTGCCTTTTGAATTTTATGTCTAGAATTTTGCTGCTTTTAGCTTTTAGCTACTCAAGTCTACCAACACTATCAAGTGTTTTTCTGCTTTGGTTTTAGCAAGTGTTTTGCTCCTTTGAGTGTTTTGCTAGTATTGTGCTTTTTAGCTTTTAGCAAGTGTTTTGCACCTTTTAGTTGTTAGTGTCTGCTCTCAGTTTCAGCTTCTTCAGCAACTTCAGCAGTCATTTAGCTCTCCCATAGCATTTATATGCTGTTTTTCTCCTTCTCTCAGAGAAACTGACCTGAAAAAGTGCCACCACCAGGTCGGCCACGCACAGGTTGACCATGAACTGGTGCATCGGCGCGTTGAGCTTCTTCCTCCTCAGGAGCACCCACAACACAAAGCTGTTCCCTAAGGTTGTGAGAGCCAGCACCACACCAAGAACCCCAATCTCAGCCCGGGCTAGGCCCAGGTCCCTGGTCCTGGGCTGAGGCAGGGTGTGAGGAGTGGCGTTGGAGCCATTCTCAGGAAAGATCCCAAACAGGGACCCCCCAGTGCGAGACGTGTTGAAGGAGTTCAGTTCAGTTACCAACAAGGAGATGTTGTTTCTTCCTGCGGCGCTCGGAGGGGAGAGACCTAACCCATCCCAGTCTGTTTCTGCACTGATTCTTTCCATTCCTGAAAAACAAGCAACGTGTTAATGTGTTTATTGTTGACCGAAAAGTTGCCTGTGAATATGACTCACAGTGCACGCTCAGAAACCTCTGTATGCTCTGATATTTCCAGAAGCAGCCCTCCACAAACACATCCCTTGTTCTGATCATCACATCAGTCTTGTGTTTATCCCCATGACTAAACTTTCCTGAATTTTAACGTTTTTTTTTATCGGCTGCACAGTTTTGCTTTTTGTCTTTTCCATATTTAGCCATTGAGGATCTAAAACTTGTAAACCTTTCAACAAAACAATAAATGTGGATTGAAAAATTGAACACAAGTACACTTTCACACAAAACCCTACAAATAGACAATCTTGAGTAACCTTATGATATAACAATCATGCTGCCAGCTTTATATTGTTGTGTTCTGGTACTCCATTTTTTTAATAACTCCTCAGCTTGTTTGTTGGTCCATCTCTCCAAACTTCCCTTTCTTTCTGACGCAAGTTTTCTTGGGTTTATTTTCTTTTTCAAACTTTCTCAAGGTTAAATTGACAGCTCTCCCCTTTATCCCACCAGTTTGTCCATTCACCTCTGCACTCCTCATGGTTCTCATCCCATGCTGACCCCCACTCTACATTCCTGTTTTCTCTTGTTTTTTGTTCCCATCTCTGCAGCTTTTTTCACATGTACAGTGGGGCACACTTTTCTCTCCCCCTTCATGCCACACTTGGTCTTGATCACAATGAACTTCATGTTTATTTTGGTTCAAAATAAATGCCTAAAGGCAAGTTGAGAGAAGCGAGATGCCAATTTGAGAAACAGTCTTGAGTTGCCGTGGGGGCCACATTTGATCAAATAAACTGCACAGACTGAAAGACTGGAAGGACAGGAATGAAGAGTTATAAATAAAGAATGGTAAACTGGACAAAATAAGCAGACTAGCAAAAAAAAGAAGTAAAATTGTGAATTTGTGACTGTAGAAGTGGTCAAATGTGGCTCTAAAAGGTGATGTGTTTTTAGCAGAAAAAGAGCTGATTGACCCCACACTGAGTTATTTTGACCTGTACGCAAAGAGTCATGACATAAGTGTTGCACTGAATGAATGTGCGCTTGGATATCGTTCACATCCCCAAATAGAAACCAACGTCTGGTGTTAATATTGTGCAATCAAGCGCAACTAAGCCATTACGAGGATGTTGTCACTGTTACGCCAAGACCTTATGACCAATTTACACCCATTGATGGGTGTGTGAGACAACACAGCTGATAATACAGGGTTTTACATAACGGCTCTGCCAGAGGAATGTCTTCAGATGAACAAATGATGGAGCGAGCCAGCTGGTCTTTTCTGTCCAGCACAAGGTTGGGGTTGAAAACAGTTGTGGAAAATCGCTTCTCAGAAATACAGAACATTTTTTGTTTTAAAGACTCCTGCCAGGATTTAGAATCCTTTTCCAAATAGATTGCCATCATCCAGAAGCTATTTGCATAAAAGAAAATCTTGGCACCTTTTTTATTGCTTGATAAGGTTTTTAAAAGGATTTCAAGAGGTCTCCTGACCTTGACTTCGTCAGAATGAATGGAACTGTGTCCTTTTCTGTAATTACAGAATACATATGAGTGCTTTCATAAGCGCTGCTGTGCTCGTTCATAACCTCTAAATGATCTAATTATACATATATCTGCCCAAGTGATTAATTTGTCATGTGAGGTTTTTTTTTTACTAATGCCTCCATGCAGGTGAGAAGGCCACTGAGGAGGATCCAGATGTACAGAGATGTAATGTCCCCAAACTGCATCAGGTACATACTGCCTTCAAGGTGATTGGGAAGAATGAAAACACCTCCCTCCAGGAAATTTATGAGCAGTCTGCATTCGCACATCCTTCATTTGGTGTATAGGTCAAAGCAAAAGGTAGAGACCACAAAAGAAGATTGGATTGTTTTATACGTTCAAGAATTTACTCATAAAGTCTCCAAAGGCTGAACGGGTTGTGCAACATGACTGTGGGTAATAAAGTGGGGGGTTCATGCAATACTGTCATCCTTTTGTTAATCTGTTTTTATTGTCTCTTATTCTCCTTTACACACATATTTATAAATGTATTTTATTGTGCATTGTGTGTTACTGATGGATCATCGTAACATTTACATTTGCTTTTATGATCAGTTTATTTATAGATCTGTTGTAATAGCGAGTATTGGAAGAACACTGAGTTCTAAACAAGGTTGTATCATATCAAATCATATAATATGCTGTATCATATTGTATCTTGTTGTTTCATATTGCATCATGCTGTATCCTGTCGTATCATGTTGTATTATGTCATATCATGTTGTATCATATTGTATCCTGTTGTATCAAATTGTATCCTGTTGTATCATATTGTATCCTGTTGTATCATATTGTAT